ATTCGTCCAGCTACAACTCCCAGCACCCATGGTGGGGGTGTGGAAAGAGGGAGGGGAGAGCAGGATCGGCACCTGGAAGACCACAGATTCCCCATACCTGAGATAAAAACTCACCTGCTGGGTTTTGTCATTACACATCGGCTGAGTTCTCACTACTAAGTCCAAAATAAACAAAATGATAGACAGGTTGAATGACTCCAGTGTCCTTCCCTTCCGCACAAAATGAATCAGCTTTGTTGATTTTAGTGCTGAGGGCAAAGGACGATGGGCTTTTCCTTCCTTCCCATGCCTCGACTTTCTCCCGGTTCAGCCTTTCTAACAATTATTAGCAAAACCAGCTCTTTCACCTAATCCTCAGCCTCCAACAAGAAACCACTTAGAAGATGCTCTTGGCAGAGAGCCTGCTCCTGGCTGTGGAGGCTCCACGTTATAAGGGTGACTAACACTTCCCAAGGGAAGAATCGACACCTTGAGTGAGGTCCGTGAGTTTTTCTAAGCCCAGCAAGAGGTGGGTTTTTTTTTTTTTTTTTAAGATACCTAGAGTTAGAATGTATGGTCATGAGGACGTTGTGTCTTGTGGCAGGGAGTGTCACGGTTAATTTGGGGGTGGGGCTACTTCAAGAGGGATGGTGTTCGTTGGATGGCCCTGTGTTTTCAAAAGGAAAAAAGAAGTGGGAGCAAAATTGCAACGGGGAAGAAATAATTGCCAAAAATCAATGGAATACACCAGGGCGGAATCTTAATGCTGCCAATACATTTAACCCAGGGGTCTTCAAACTTGGCCCTTTTACGACTTGTGGACTTCAACTCCCAGAATTCCTCAGTCAGCCTCCATTTTGTTTGTTAGATTTAAGACAGGGGTCTTCAAACTTGTCCCTTTGATGACTTGTGGACTTCAACTCCCAGAACTCCTCAGCCAGGCACTACCTGTATTGAGATGGTCGCTCTAACACTTCAGGGTTCCTACTCCAAGTTTACACCACTCATTACCTTAAACCTTTCTTGTTCCTGGCTTAATAGGGGAGCTGCTTCAAGGCAGGAAATCCCCTTGCTGATAGGGAAGAATATTGGAATAGCAAAGTTGGACGGGATCTTGGTGGTCATCTAGTCCAACCCCCTGCTCAAGCAGCAGAACCTATTCCATTCCGGACAAATGGCTGTCCAGTCTCTTTTAAAAGCCTCCAGTGATGGAGCACCCACAACTTCGGGTGGCAAGCTGTTCCACGGGTTAATTGTTCTCCCTGTTAGGAAGTTTCTCCTTAGTTCCAGGTTGCTTCTTTCTTTGATTGGTTTCCATCTGTTGTTTCTTGTCCTGCCTTCAGGTGCTTTGACCCCCCCTTCTTTGGGGCAGCCCCTCAAATATTAGAAGACTATCAGGTCACCCCTGGTGTTTCTCTTGATTAGACCAGACATAGCTTGTTCCCGCAGTCTCCAGGATATCATAGGTAGGTTCATCCAATTATTCTCAAAGTCAGGAAATTTCTCCTTAATTCTAGGTTGGACCTCTTCCGGTCTCTGCCCTCAAGTACTTTGGAGAGCGATAGCTCAACCGGTTGAACTTCCCCATCCGTCTGCATCCCAGGCAAAAGCTGCACCGCTCGGATTTCTGCCTGGAAACCCCCCTTCCCCAAAAGCTCAGGGAAGCAGAAGAAAGGGGGGGGGTAGCACCCCACTTGTACTCTGCCGAAGCATCCGTGCCCCATTTCCTGTGGGGCTCAGCAAGCAACCGTTGGTGGTGATTCATGGTCCATATCCTTTTGGCAACCGATTCAAGAGATGCCATTCCTGGATTCTGAATCACCCAGAAATGCACAAACTGGGGTGGGGTGGGGGGGAACGGGACCTGCCAATCGGTGCCTTCATTTCCTGCCCCCCCCCCAGCCCACCCACCAGCCCTGTGGAGGAAATGGGGTAAAGTGAGTCACTCTTTCGCCCCTTTTTCATCAGCCAGTTATGAATTATTTCTTTTTTGCATTTTTTTTTTTTGCCGCGAAGAAACGTGCAGCGCTCACATGACCCGTCCGGGCACGTGTAGATGCTTCATTGGCCCGGGGGAGGGTCCTGCGAACCCCACCGCCCCCACTTTGCAGTTCATGCACTTACAGCAGCCAAAGTGGTTTATTGCATATGGGCGGGAGGGTGAAGTTATTAGGCTAGAAACGAGGGGCGCGAGTTCCAATCCCGTCTTTTGGCACGAAGGTGGTTGGGTGATCTTGGGCCAGCCACACTCTTTCTGCCCTAGGAAGGAGGCAATGGCATGCCAGGTCTGAAAAACCTGATGAGGCAGTCTGCAAGAAGGGGTTTCTCACGGGGCTTAACGGCAGCATTTGCCACTCCTATAGAGCCCACCTTGCAGGGCCGTCGTGCAGCGGGCCGCCATCGCTGGGAAAGCAGCCTTTTCTTTACAGTCGATTCTGGGGATCCTCCGCCCCTCCTCCCAGATGCGTGAAACGGGCCCTTTGATTCGAGTTTGGGCAGCTGGGCGTACACCCCCCCCCAAACCCGGCTCTCTGTTCACACGTGCATCGTCGGACGCCTCACTGGGAAGCAAACTCGGTCGTAGGAAGGGAGACATTCCATTCCGGACCTCCGCAAGGGAGGGTGGGGGGACGCCCCCTTCTCTCCAACCAAGCTGCACCCCAAGATCTCCCCCCCGGTCTCTTTCCTCGCAAAGGGTCCGGGGGCGTGGCTTCTCCTTGCCCCGCCTCCATCAGAGTCAGCGCAATCAGAGCTGGAGGGATATTGTGTGAACGAGCTACCCCGGGTCCGGGGATGGGGTGTCTGCGTCCCTAAGGTTGGGAAAGGCGACCCCTCTCGTCCGCTCTCGGGTGGGCTCCCGCTTCCATTTCCCCCTGCAGAGTCGTAATGGGTTGTGGGTTTGGCCCGGATCGATGCCCTCTTTTTACCCCCACCAGAGAAGACCCCTTCAGCCAGGAGTCGGCGTATCGGACGGTCTCGTTCGCGGAGCTATTCAAAACCTGGACGGTGGCCGGGGTTGGATCCGGTCTTCACTTGCCCGTGCAACAAATCGAAGAGAGCCAGTGGATCCGGAGTGGATCCACAAAGGGGTGGTGTGTAAATAAACAACTGTGCTGAATTTCGGTCTGGAGCCGCTATTAAAGAAAAGGAATCTAGCAGTTCTAACACCTCTTTGAGGTTTATTTTCTTTTTTTATATATAAATTTTTTTATTAATTTTTTTTTCATCAACATATGTTAATTTTTCCAATCAACAAGTTTGTCTGGAGTTTGCGATGCTAATACATGTTTAATTCCTAATCCTTCATTCTCTTCTCTAACCAAGAATAAAAGAAATTCCAAATTTGATAGTAGTCTGTATCTTCTTTATCTTTCAACCTCATAGTTAATCGGTCCATCTCTGCACATTCCAATATTTTCCTGATTATTTCTTCCTCTGATGGCAGTCCTTCATTCCTTCAGTATTGTGCAAAAATTATTCTCGCTGCTGTAGTGATGTGTAAAATTAAATATAGTTTCTGCTTATTAGTCCTTTCAGGCATCATGCCTAGTAAAAAAAAATCAGGTTTAAAATCCAGTTGTTCGCCCAATATTTTTTCTAACCACGTATGTATATTTTTCCAATAGGCCTTTGCCTTACCACATATCCACCAAATGTGGTAATACGTGCCTATGTTATGTTTACACTTCCAACATCTATCTGACATATTTTTAAGGGGTTTATTTTCTTAAATGTCAAGGAACTGATCATAGAACTAGTAATTTTTTCTTTTTCTTTCTATTCTTAATTTTTTATTCTGTGTTTTATCCTTTTATTTCCTTCTTTGATCCTTCTCTCATCTATCTTCCTTTTTTCCTTCCTTCCCTCTTCTGACTGCAGATATACGGAGGAACAAAACTGATGGATGTTTAAGAAAATCACACTCTTTGTACATTCAGAGGCACTCTTGTTCTTCCACTTTTCACCTTGATCCAGCTTGGGTAGTAGAGAAGGCCAAAGCCTCGGCATGAAAGTGTATTTCCTAATCCCAAATAAACTCAGAACTGTTTTCCCTAATTAACGGAAGCAATTGCATCGTCTGGAGGGCCCTGTTCATGCTGATGTACATATTGCACCAAGTTGTAACACAGTTGCTGTGTGGCTTAGTTTGTTGTGCCCACATGGCTGTTGCAGCTTTGCAATCCACGGTGACAACGAACCCAATCGGTTGTGATTTGTTCAACAAACCATGTTTAAACCAGCACGTTCTAACCGATAGGCCTGGGAACCACTCTTGGCAAGTTCAAAATCACATTATTTCTTGGCTGAAGATGCTTGGGGCAAATTAAATTTTGCCATTTCAAGGAGCTGAATGGGCCAAAAAAAAAAAATAGCTTGGGTGCTTTTCAAAGGCTGAAAAAACTTAAGTTTCTGATGCTTTATACTTTTTTTAACCACCGTAAATATGATTGTAATGCAGTGTGCTGGCCGCTGCTCAAACAGAAGACACCAAGTTGTATTAAAATAGTTGGTGCATTTTTATTGCAAATCTGTGAAGGTTCGGAGTGATAAAAAAAATTAAAAATAACCAACAAAAACACACAGGCTTATTTACAATTCTGTTCTTCCCCTTTGCCAGTGGCATCTTGGCTGCATTGAAAATCAGCTTTACCATGATATTTGCTAGCTTCCAGCTCTGCTCTGCTCCTGGGTAGTTCAGAGCAGCTGCGTCTGCAGAAATTGACAGCGATAATTTGAAAAAGTAGCTTTTTCTAGCTTGATAAGACACCATGGAAACTTAGCTAAAAAGGCTTTGTCAACAGTAGCTTGCCGTACGGTGGGTGCAAACTATGGTCTAGCATGCGGTTTCTCAACCTTGGAAATTTTAAGACGTGTGAACTTCAACTCCCAGAATTCCCCAGCCAGACATGGGAGTTGAAGTCCACCCTTTTTAAAGCATGCTGGCTGGGGGATTCTGGGAGTTGAAGTCCATTCATCTTGAAGCATGCTGGCTGGGGGATTCTGGGAGTGGATGTCCATCCCTCTTAAAGGATGCTGCTGGGGAATTCTGGGAGTTGAAGTCCATATATCTTAAAGCATGCTGGCTGGGGGATTCTGGGAATTGAAGCCCACCCGTCTTGAGGTTCCCAAGGTTGAGAAACATTGCTGTAGCAAACGATGGCTTAGAAGGGTGAGAATCTGCTTTTAGCTGCGGTTAAAGGTGCACAGACAACAAGGGCTGAAGGGCAGCTGGACAAGCTGGCTAAAAAAAAATTTTCCTTTTCCGTCAAGCCATCCAAACCCAGAGGCAACGTGACCCGAGGGTCAGGTTGGGACCCCCGAGTCAGCTCCCTCGTCTAAACCGCAACTCCCAGGATGCCTCGCGCCACCCGCACCTAGTAGACCTTGTTCTGAGCAGCTTTGCATCGCGGTGCAGCGGTGGGCTCGTGTTTGCAATGGGTGGGGTGGGGGCTGTGGAAAAGGGGCTCCCCCAGCCCCTCTCCCAGGGACTGTGTTTGTGTGTTTGAAAAAAGAGAAAACAAAATGTAAAAAGTTTGGTTTTTCCTCCCCTCCCCAGCAATGCTCTCCCTGCAAAGAGAGGAGGGGGGGCTTGCTGACCGTCAGTGCCCCCCCCTCCCCGTGCAGGAGACTTCTGGGGGCTGGGCGAGGGGCTTGGGGTCTTGGCTCAGGGCCGGCAGTGACAATCGTGGGCCAGGCGGACCGTCTGCAGATTCAAGGAGGCGTCCTCTTTGAGGAACAGAAAGGGGAGCGGGGTCTTGCGGGACCGACAGCAGCGTCTCTGGCGGGAGAAAGAAAAAAGGGGTAAATCTGGGGGTTCCCCCCCCCCGATGCCAGCTGAATCCTTGAGCCCCACTGCAGATCGTCCTGGACTTACAGCCGTTCGTTTAGTGACCGTTCAGCGGCACTGAAACGAGTGACCTGGGAGCCTTTTTCACACTTAACGACCGTTGCAGCATCCCTTTGGTCAAGCTGATCCAGATTCAGATGCTCAGCAACCGGCTCGTACTTATGACGGTCGCAGTGCCTCCCGGGGTCACACGATGGCCTTTAAGTGAATCGGGAAGCCCAATTCATTTAACAACCGTGTTGCTAACTTAACCCCTGCAGCGATTCGCTTAACGGGGGGGGGGGGAGAAAGATTGTTAAAACAGAGGCAAGGTTCGCTTTGCGACGGTCCTGCTTAGCAACAGAAAAGATTGGGTTGAGTTGCGGTCGTGAGCCGAGGACGACCTGTAGCCCACACAGCTGGGTCGAGTTTCAATCCTTTGGCCCCGGGTCTGCCTGGAGCCTTGCACCAGGAACCGCCCTGCACCGCCGTCCCAGCTTTACCTGTTGGGCATCCACCTGGCCTTGATGGCTTGGCTGCTGGAGGCCGCAAGCTAGGCTCCAGAGATCCAGCTGTGTGTCTTCTTTGATGCGGTGACAATGGCACCCCAGACATTCGGTGAAGGTGAAGGAAGTGGGGCTCAGCACCCAACTTTGCCAGCCGAGATCTGGGTGGCGGGACAGGGGAGAAGAGAAAGACAGGAGCAGAAAGAATGAAAGGATGCACATGTGACCCTTGCAGATTACTGCCTTGTTAAGAAGAGACTGGACAGTCACTTGTCTGGAATTGAATAGGGTCTCCTGCTTGAGCAGGGGGTTGGACTAGAAGACCTCCAAGATCCCTTCTCCAGCTCTGTTATAGCGTATTTGTATTCCTTCGTTGTATTTGATGGATATCCCAGTTTTGATTTGGTACAACTCAAAGCATGCTCCCTCGTCTCTTTTCCCCATAACAACAACTTAGAACTAAGGAGAAACTTCCTGACAGTGAGGACAATGATCCAGTGGAACAACCTGCCTCCAGAAGCGGTAAATGCTCCAACACTGGAAGTTTTTAAGAAGAGATTGGACAGCCATTTGTCTGAAATGGTGTAGGGTTTCTTGCCTGAGCAGGGGGTTGGACTAGATGACCTCCAAGGTCCCTTCCAAATTATTATTATTATTATTATTATCAATCTCTGAGTTGGGGAGAAATAACAAAAACAACTTTATTGTCACTTGAATGTACACCAATCGGCATACATCAAAATGAAAGAGATTAATTGTCCAATTCATAGCTTGTGTGATCTTCTCATCAGCATCTTCATCTCTGCCCTAAACCTAGTTTCTAATTCCAGTTTAGCTTAATGGGAAAAGGGCTCTCTGTAGCATTTACACAAAGCCAGGATTAATGTGCAACCTCAGCCACTGGGGGCGTCGTTACCTTTTAAACCCATTTTTTAACCCAGTGATTTTTGATTTTTTTTTTACTGTTTAATCTATTTTTTAACCCAAGGTATTTTTTTTTTACATTTAGCCTGTTTTTAAACCATCGTATTTTTCATTTTTCAATCTATTTTTTTAAACCAAGGTATATATATTTTTTTTACCTTTTAGCCCATTTTTAACCTACTGTATTTTTTACTTTTTAACCTATGCCATATTTTCTGCTTGTTTAAACCTATTTTTAATCTAATGCAGGGGTGTCAAACTGCTGGCCCGTGGGCCGGATGCATCATAGTGAAACTGTGCCCACCCCATTGCTGGCAATGGGAAAAAAATTGTGATACGTCGTGACACGTCACATGATGTTGCGAGTTTGACACTAATGTATTTTTTAATTTTTAAGTGGACAGACAATGGCTAATATGATGATGATGATGAGCCTACTTTTTTAAACCTATTGTAACACACTATCCTGACTTAATATCATAGGTAAATTTTCAGCCGTCATGGCTTTAATCAACAAAACCAGGGCATAAACTACACTTTAGCAGAATGAACGTGTTATAAACCTAGTTTACAGTTTCTTACTTTATTCAGCCTGACTAATAGGGTTCAGGCGAGAAAATAGGCTTACAAAAATATTACTGTCTTAGCAAGAGGGGTAAAGAAGGACATTTTGAACAGGTGAAACTTTAGTAGAAAAATTCCCCTGCTAAACATATTGGATTGTCATATGAACCTATTAATAATATTGTGATATTAACATATTATTTATTACATTACCATCCAGGGTGACACGTTGCGAGATCTGTAAGCAGCCCCCTCTTTGGCTCACCAGTGTCTGATTGGAGATTACATCTGGGGAATCAAGAAAAGGTAGGTAAGCAACTTGTGAATACAGGCGGTCCTTGATTTACGACGGTTCGTTTATTGACTTTAGTTGAAAGTTACAACAGCACTGGGAAAAAAAGGTGACTTCGGAGCATTTTTCAGACTTAGGATGGTTGCACCATCCCCCTTGTCCCCGTTGGTGATCTTCAGACAAGCCAAGTCAATGTAATATATACATTGCTTACTGGTGTACACCGCTTAGAGAGTGCTTGCACTTAAAGCGGTATATAAGTCTCATAAATAAATAAATAAACAAACAAATAAATAAACAACCAGGTGACTAATTTTAACAACTTGCAGTGATTCCCTGAACAACTGCGGGCAAGAGAAGTCGTAAAAGGGGGCAAAACTCACTTCGCAAAGGTTTCGTTCAGCCACAGAAATTTTGCAGACATAAGTCAAGGGCCACCTGTAGTTATTTAGGAAGAGAGAAATTTAAACGGTTCTCAGGCTATCCGTAGGAGTAAATCCTGAAGACTGGGACCCTTTAAAAAGCCAGGAAAAAGAGAGCAGGCAAGTGTACGGGGTGTAATCTTTGTGTAGAAGAGATACTGCATTAGAAATGTCATTTTTTTTTTTTTTGTACCGATAACGAAGGCTGGGGGTTTTTTTCCCTCCCCCCCCTCACGAGACCCCCTCCGGCCAGCTGTTCTTCTTAGAAGCCAGTAAAGGGAGTAAAAAGATTGTTCCTGAAATAAGAATAACCCTGAGAATTTGCAATAAACACAGGGGGGGGGGGGGATAAATAGGCACCATATCACACCCTTCCCCGGAACGGCTAAAAGGAATTTACGGAATTGGTGCATCGCCCAGATTGTCTAGGAATAATCAGGCAATGTTTGGGATCAGGACAATCCAAAGGATGGGTGGAAATTTAATGTATAGTCTAGAATTTAATGTATACTCCCTTTTGGCTCCATTAAGATGGGTGGATTTCAGCGCTCAGAACTCCCCAGCCAGTATGCTTTATGATAGGTGAGTTTCATAACAGCATGGGAAGGGACCTTGGAGGTCTTCTAGTCCAATCCTCTGCTCAAGTAGGAGACCCTATACTATTCTGGACAAATGGCTGTCCAGTCTCTTCTTAAAAACCTCCAGTGTTGGAGCACCCACAACTTCTGGTGGCAAGCCGTTCCACGGGTTAATTGTCCTCACTGTCAGGAAATGTCTCCTTAGTTCCAGGTTGCTTCTCTCCTGGATTAGTTTCCATCTGTTGCTTCTTGTCCTGCCTTCGGGTGCTTAGGAGAACAGGTTGAACCCCTCTTCTTTGTGGCAGCCCCTCAGTTATTGGATCACATCACCCCAATCCTTTTTTCCCCACTAGGCTAGACATACCCAATTCCTGCAATCGTTCTTCGTATGTTTTAGCCTACAAACCTTTGTCTTTGTTGCTCTTCTCTGCACTCTTTCTAGAGTCTCAGCATCTTTTTTACATCGTGGCGACCAAAACTGGATGCTGTATTCCAAGTGTGGCCTTACCAAGGCCTTTGTAAAATGGTATTAATACTTCTCGTGATCTTGATTCTATCCCTCTGTTGATGCAGCCCAGGACTGTGTTGGCCTTTTGGGCAGCTGCCACACACGGCTGGCTCATACTGAAGTGTTGGTTTATTAGGACAACATAGTTACTGCTCTTGAGCCAGGTGCCACCTATTCTATACCTGTGCGTTTAGTTTTTCTGGCTGCAAGCCTCAATCACTGCTTTTTAATTCATTTTACGGTGAGCTAAAGCAAAGCAGAAACTGAACAGTTTTCTTTTAAGTTGCCCAGGAAATTCCTTACAACTGTTGTGTTGAAAATTTCAGTTTCCAAATGCATACTGGTTAGGATTTTCTCTGCTTCTCTAAACATGTCTGTTGAGGCATCTTGAGATCATCCCAAAGACCCAAACCCTAACCGCCGTAGCTATGGGAAGACTGCATTTCCCAGAGTTCCTTGCTAGAGACCAAAGTAGCCTGGGAAATAGAGTTCCACCAACTTTGCCTGTCTTTGCCCCAGCAGTTTCAGCTCGGTGGATTTCTGCTCCCAGAATTCTCTCTGCAGCAAACACGCTGAGTGGGGAATTCTGGAGGTGCGAGACCACATCGTTTGCCCAACACTGATTTAGAAAGTGATATGACGTTTCCCAGGCTGAACTACGGCTGAAAAACCGGATGGACGCCAAAGCTGGATCCGTTATGCAGTGAAAAAAGCAGAAGTGAGCATTTTGTATCAACCATTTGATGTAATCAAAACGGATGGTTGTGGTTAATTCCCCAAAAGAGAGGGCAGTGCTTTTTTAAATCCCAAAGCAAGCGGGCCAACAAAGTGTAGTCTATTCTCCGGTGTGAGAAAGGGCGCTCTTGGTACGCTCGTGCGCACTCTTATGAGTCAACCTCCTTGCGACATGTTTAATCACTGTTGGACTGAATTTTGTCCACTTTTCTGGTTTTGCATCATCTGTTAGTTTGGAGTCACGAAATACAGGGAGTCCTCGACTTACGACCCCAATTGAGCCCAAAATGAAACAGTTATTAAGTGAATTTTGCCCCGTTTTACAACCTGTCTTGCTGCAGTTGTTAAATGAATCTGGCTCCCCCCCTTGACTTTGCTGGTCAGAGGGCTGCAAGGATCACACGCTCGTTAAGTCACCTTTTTTTTCAATTCCATTGTAACCTGGATTGGTCATTAAATGAACTGTTGTAAGTCAAGGACTCTCTGTGGCCCGCCACGCATGGTTTAAACCTGCTTTGATTCTCTTGGGATGGCCTGTCTGAGGAAAAAGACTTAAAATACTTAAGTGTAATGAAAATCTTAACCAGTTAAGAATGTTTTGAATATTGTGTGTGTGTGGGGGGGGGGGGGAAACAAATGTAGATAAGAATTTTAAACAGGATCTATGATAAGGCCATCAAGATGATCAGTTAGAAAAAAGGTTTTACTTCAATGTGGTTATGGTTTGCAGAAATATTAGAAAAATGTCTCTATTTAACTGTTATTTATCCAAATCATAAGAATCGTTATTAATTCAAGCATGGCAAAAGAGAACATCAAGCAAAGCTATTATGTGGACTATAAAAATTACAGAAACTAATCGCTATTGACTGTTTTTTTAAACACAAACCCAGACAGCACAATGTTTGCCAAATATTAAGGTGATTATGTAAAAAAATAAAAAAATAAAACATATTTTAAAAAATAATATAATAAACCCACTTTGATTCAAGATTTGCAGGCTGGGCGACTGCATTGGCTAAGACCTTTGGCGACCTGCGGAAATGAGTTGTGTGAACTGCTTGACTCTGAAATTTAGAGGTGAGCCCTGGCGCAGGAATCCCATTGGGGGTCTTGGGGGGGGGGAGATGCCAGACAGAGGAGAAGCGAGAAAAGGGCATAGGGGCACTTACTGAGAGGCCGTCCCCCAATGGAGGGGTCCAAAGACCTTCTTTCTTTGGCCCATTCTTCTCGCACCTGATGGGTCATGCTGGACGTCAGTCGGGGTGGGTGGTCTAAGTGCAGCAACTGGCACATCACCGTCCTGGCTCGCTGGAGGATTTGCTCCCGACAGCTGTGGGGGATACAATCCACAGGAGCTCAGCCACAGGGGTGGAACAAAATTTGGGGTACTGGAAAGAGGGGGAGAAGGTGGAGGTCTCCGACTTGGGTGCTGTTATTTCAGAGGCTGCAGCTGTTCTTGCCTCTAAGAAGGAAATAAACGAAGAATCTCTCTCTCTCTCCCCCATCCATCCATCCATCATCTATACATACATCATCTCTGTCTGTCTGTCTGTCTATCTCTCTCTCTCTCTATCTCCATTATTTATCCATCCATCCATCCATCCTCTATTATCTATACATATATCATATCTGTCCGTCCGTCCATCCATATCTATCTATCTATCTATCTATCTATCTATCTATCTATCTATCTATCTCCATTATTTATCCATCCATCCATCCATCCATCCTCTATTATCTCCATTATTTATCCATCCATCCATCCATCCTCTATTATCTCCATTATTTATCCATCCATCATCCTCTATTTTCTATACATACATATCTGTCCGTATCTATCTATCTATCTATCTATCTATCTATCTATCTATCTATCTATCTATCTATCTATCTATCTAACCATCATCTACAGTATTTCCATCATGTATCCACCCTTCCGCTATCTATCAAATTTTGAAATCATCCATCTCCCTTACAGAGGGAGTGTACAAATAAAATATGAAAAAAAACCCCAACAAAACCAGAGTATCCAAGTTTTAAAAAGAGGCGAGAATGATTAAAATATAAACGTTAATGGTTTTAGTTTTCTGCATGCTGCAGATTCTTCCAGGCGGAGACACGCAGGGGCAGGGTCCTGTTAGAAACGTGGCAACCGGGTCCTTGAATGCAAAGAGCCGCACGAGAGGGTGCCATCTTCCATCAGCTTTTACAAATCATTACCCTTGGGGGCTTCCTTTCCCCACCTGTGCATGATGGGAGGTGTAGTCTGGCAGCTCCCCAATTCCTCCGGCCCCTGAAAAAATCCCTTTGAAAAAGTTACCCCACCCTCTCCCTTCGGTCGCCCTTTCCTTTCATTCATCATTACAGTGCCCTCTCTCCATCCTCCCAGTTCCCAAATATTCCCAGAACATCCCCCCCCCCCAAACAGATCTGTCCAAGAAAGCTCTGGATAAGCTGATCCGTGATACCTACCCCCAATTCTCCCCCCCCCCCGTTCAAGGTACGTGTTTCGTCTTTCTCACTCAAGGGTGTCTCTGTCTTCGCAACAGATCTTTCGAGTCACCCAAGACTTTCCTGGCCAGATAGGGATTTGAACCCAGCTCCTTCCAGCCGGCCCTCAACCACCCTGGCTCCCTGACATTTGGAGGGGCGGGGGAGGGGGGCTGCTGGGAAACCTTACCTTTCGTTGAGAGTCAGGGCAGAAAACCCGAGGGTTTGCTCTCCCCCTGCGGGGTCTTCTTGCCGGAGACCGGAGGTGCCCCCGGGAGACCCGGTGGCCAGCCAGAGGTGCAGGAAGAACAGGAGGAACATGGCAACGGGAAAAGATGGAGCCCGGGACTGTCGGACCGGGCACAGGTGGGCAACGACAGCCCCAAGCAAACCTTAGGTTTCTGAACAGGGATGCGAAAGGACGCTGGGAACAGACTTTTATCTCGCTCTCTCCCCCAGGCCTGCGGTGACCTTGGCATTTTTCAGACTCCTCATCCCCCGAGGCCAGCAACTGCAGAAGGAGAGTTGGGTGCCAGCCCTTCGGTCCTCGGGGGGTCATAGCCGGGCATTCCTGCCACCCCCTGGGACTCCCCCCTCTTTTTCTCCCTCCCTCCCACCCTCCATCCATCTCTCCAAAGGGTGGCCCCTGCTTGGAACTACAGGGTTTTGCACCCAGGACCGCCAGGCTCTCAAATGGCAGAAGACCACTTGGGAATGGGAGGGGGGAGAGGGTGTCCCTGAACTTGAGCAGAGTGCATGATAAACCTGGCCCCCGAAGGAAGCATCAGCAGTGGGGGGATTCTATAGAATGCAGAGTGGGAAGGGAGCTGGGAGGTCTGCTAGTCTAACCTCTTGCTCAAAGAGGAGACCCTATAACATTCTGGACAAATGGTTGTCCAATCTCCTCCAGTGACGGAGCACCCACAACTTCAGGTGGCAAGCTGTTCCACTGATCAATTGTTCTGTTAGGAAGTTCCTCCTTAGTTCTAGGTTGCTTCTCTCCTTGCTTAGTTTCCATCCGTTGCTTCTTGTTCTGCCTTCCGGTGCTTTGGAGAATAGCTTGACCCCCTCTTCTTTGGGGCAGTCCCTGAGATACTGGCACAGTGCTATCATGTCACCCTCGTCCTTCTCTTCATTAGACTAGACATACTCAATTCCACCAACTGTTCTTTATATGTTTTATCTTCCAGTCTCCTAATCATCTTTGTTGCTCTTCTCTGTACTCTTTCTAGAGTCTCAACATCTTTTTTGTATCACAGTGACCAGAACTGGACGTAGTATTCTAAGTTTGGCCTCCCCAGTGCATCTTTAGCATTTTATCTTCAGTGGCATCAGAAGAATTTTGATAAAAAGGGAAATTTTTCTGGGCATAAGCAGAGTATAGCGAAAACACAGACGTACACACAATCTTGCTCAGAATCCTGTGGGTTTTTTTTTTTTCATCTGAGCCAAAGATGTATGGGGAAAAATCGTATGTGGTTTATGACCGTTGAATTTATTTATCTACTGATTTTAGGACCTAATGCTGGGAAAGACGGAGGGCAAGAGAAGAAGGGGATGACAGAGAAGGAGGTGGCTGGATGGAGTCCCTGAAGCAGGAGGCGTGAGCTTCAATGGACTCCAGAAGATGGCAGAGGACAGGAAGGCCTCCAGAGGGACAGGAGCATAAATTGTTAGCCTGCAGAAGAAGGATCCATGTGGAATCCATTTCTCTAGGAATGGCTGGGAATACCGTGAACAAACCATGGCTTATGCAGGTTAGAGTCAGCAGGAGGGAGATGGGAAGAGCGAAGGCACGGATGGGATGCTGTCGGAGTGGCTTAGTCTTGTTAGCCAGACCCTTGTGGTGATGACTGACGGCAGGAGTTGCATCAAACCGAGGGAAGGAAAAGAAGCGTAATTGTGAGCTTCTTAGAGGATGTGGAACGATTGTGGTTTCCAAAGCAAAAGAAGGAAAGGAAAGGAAGGAAGGAAGAAGGAAGGAAAAAAGAAGAAAGGAAGAAAGGAAAGAAAGAAGAAAAAGAAAGGGAGGAAGAAAGGGAGGGAGGGAAGGAAGGAAGGGAAAGGGGAGGGAAGAAGGAAGGAAAAAAATTGAAGGAGGGAAGGAAGAAAGGAAGGAAGGAGGAAAAAAGAACTGAAGGAGGGAAGGAAGAAGGAAGGGAAAGGGAGGGAAGGAGGGAGGAAGGAAGGAAAGAAGGAAGGAAGGATTGAGGGAAGGACACAAGGAAGGAAAAGAGGGAAATAAAGGAGAGATTGGGGAAGGAAGGAAGGAAAAAAGGAGGAAGAAAGAGGTCACGTGTTACCCCTTTGGGTGACCTTCTGCCCAGCTAAATCAACGGGGGGGGGAGCCCGATTCACTTAACAACCGCCTGACTAACTTAACGACATGCGGCGATTCCCTGAACAACGGCGGCAGGACAGGTCGTAAAACGGGGCCCAAACCCACTTAACAAACGCCTCCCTGCGCGAGGGAAAATTTGGGCTCCACCGTGGTCGCTAAGTCGGGAACCACCTGTCCTTTATTTCTGAAACCGAGAGAGCCAACCTTAGGGAAGAAAGACTGAAGGTCTCTCTCTCTCCTCCTCCTCTTCCTCCTCCCTTGACTCCCCCCCCCCAGGCCAGACAGTCCTCCCAAAGAGAGACCTTTTGTCTCCCAGCTATAAATAGCCCCCCCCCATCCGTGGGGAGGAATGTTCCAAGGGGAAGAGAGCTCGGAAAGCCGTGGGGCCATCCATCGCCGGCCAGAGATTAGCCTTTTCACAAACAGCTTCTTCGGCACCTGCGTCCAAGGTCTCCGCATCAAAGTTCTCCAGGCGGAGGGCGCATCGGTGAGCTGCAGCCCAGGGGACGGGACAGGGGGGGGTGGTGGTGGTGTCCCCTTTGAAGATAAAAAAAAAAAACCAGCCCTGATTTGGCTGGAGGGCTGGTGGTGCCGCTCTCCGGCCTTTGATGTTTCGGCACCCCGCCCAGGTAGGAATAATGCCAGTATCATCCCTTCAAGGCGGTGGGCTGTTTACGTGTCTTTAGAAGAGAGAACAAAGCACCACAAGGGCGGGAGGGACCTCCGAGGTCATCTAGTCCAACCCCCTGGCCTTTTTACCACTCTGCTCAAATGGACGTCCGGTCTATTTTTTTTTTTTTTGAAAAACCAGGGTATAGAGCAGCCACAACTTCTGGAGGCAAGCTGTTCCTCTGGTTAGTCGTTCTCACTGTCGGGAAATTGCTCCGTAGTTCTAGGTTGAATCTCTCCTGGATTAATTTCCATCTTTTTGGAGAATAGGTTGACCCCCCCCTCTTTGTGACAGTCCCTCAAGTAAGAGAATAATTGAATAACAAGACTTGCAAGGGGCCTTGGAGGTCTTCTAGTCTGACCCCCTGCTCAAGAAGGAGACCCCACACCATTCCAGACAAGCGGCTGTCCAAGCTTTTCATAAAAACCTCCGGGGATGGAGCACCCACGATTTCCGGTGGCAGGTTGTTCCGCTGGTTAATTGTCCTCGCTGTCAGGAAGTTTCTCCTTAATTCCAGGTTGCTTCTCTCCTTGACCGGTTTCCATCCGTTGCTTCATGTCAAAAATTAACCCAGTTGCAAAGACTCAACTTTCAGACAGCTAAAATCTTCACCGACATTTGTTAGAGACATTTTTTTTTTATTGTTCATGCTCCGATTGATTTATTTAGCCATCGCTGCAAAAGTTCCAAAAACTTTTTAAAAAGAAGAAGAGAAGCAGGCTGCGGTGCTTTTGAGAGCAAGAGTTAAACTTCACACCTCGCCTTCCTGTCCTTGCGGGTTTCCCCTCCACGCCCCCCCCCCAGTCTTTATCTTTCTTTCCATCTCTTGTCAATACTTCCACAACGAACCCAGATGCAACTAGACGGACCCACAATGTGGCTGGCCAACCTCGCCGCTTGCTTGACGCTATGGGCCTCATGGATGTCTGCCTTTCATGCCAACTTTACCCATCCTTCACAGCCGGGCATGGTGAGGAGAGCTCCATAGGGGAAGGGGATGAGGGTGGTCAAAAAGAGGGAGTAAAATGGCTGTAATTTAGGTTCCCCCCTCTCTCTGGCCACCATTGCAACTTGCCTTTTAATAACAGCTTAATTATTTTGCTGTGCAGAAAATAATAGAATAAGAGAAGAGTTGGAAGGGACCTTGGAGGTCATCCAGTCCAACCCCCTGCTCAGGCAGGAAACCCTATACCATTTCAGACAAATGGCTGTCCAGTCTCTTCTTAAAAACTTCCAGTGTTGGAGCATTCGCCGCTTCTGGAGGCAGGTGGTTCCACTGGTTAATTGTTCTCACTATTACGAAGTTTCTCCTTAGTTCCAAGTTGCTTCTCTCCTTGATTAGTTCCCACCCGTTGCTTCCTGTCCTGCCTTCAGGCGCTTTAGAGACTAGGTTGATCTCTTCTTCTCTGGGACAGCCCTTCAAATATTGGAAAAAGCTATCATCTCATCCATCTTTCTCTTCCTTAGGCTAAAAACATGCCTAGGAGAGAAGCAACCTAGAACTAAGGAGAAACTTCCTGACAGTCAGAACAATTCACCAGTGGAACAACCTGCCTCCAGAAGCGGTGAATGCTCCAACACTGGAAGTTTTTAAGAAGAGACTGGACAGCCATTTGTCTGAAAGGGTATAGGGTTTTGTGCCTGAGCAGGGGGTTGGACTAGATGACCTCCAAGGTCCCTTCCAACTTTAGTATTATTATTATTATTAACTATTCATCATATGATTTAGCCTCCAGTCCCCTAACAGAATAACAGAAGATTTGGAAGGGACCTTGGAGGTCATCTAGTCCAACCCCCTGCTCAGGCAGGAGACCCTAGACCATTTCAGACAAATGGCTGCCCAATCTTTTCTTAAAAACCTCCAATGTTGGAGCACCCACAACTTCTGGAGGCAGGTTGTTCCACTGGTTAATTGTTCTCCCTGTCGGGAAATTTCACAGTTTTAGTTCTAAATCTCTCTTGGATCCCCAGATGTGGTTGAATATCGGTGTTTAATTTCCTCCTGAGTTTTCGGGTGATTCTCCCTGTTATCGGAGGAGAGGAATTATTTTTGGTTTTATTTTCAGATTGGAAAATGCAGGCTGCTAACCAGTCAGTAGAATGATGGGGAATGCCGTTCGGTTTCCAGGGGTAAATCAGCTGCAGAGAAAAATCTAAAATGAATTCTTGAGCAGCCTGAGAATAAAGTAGAAAAAAGAAGCCCAGGAGAGAAATATTGCGGGATTTGCAAGACAGGGATTGCATTCAACCGATGTTACTTCATTGTAGGATGACACCTTCCACATCTGTCTCCCTAATCTTCTTCTCTAATTTCCCCAGAAATATAAAAGAGAGCTAACAAGGCTAACTGCAGAGGGACCAGCTGTGGTAGCATTGCATTTGCAGAAAACAAAAATCAGGCTGTAAAGGGAGATATTTTTCTTTGCAATATTTTTATTCTGACGTGGGCTAGCACTTTATGTTTCATATTTTAATCAAGATGGAGCTGACTCAGAGGTTCCAGGATTTCATGGTGAAATTCAACAAGACCTACAACAGCCGAGAAGGTAAGCAATACATATTAATTTCCGTCTGTACCCCGGATCTTAAAACTAGCCCAATAAAGGCGGTTCTGATAAATCTAGAGAAGAGGTTGAATCTAGCCATGTTTTTAGCATGTGTGAATGCAGTGGCCATGACTTCAATAAGAAGAGAAGCAGATCTGAGCCTATCAAGGTAAGTATGTCAACTTGGAGCCCTCTAGAACAGCGTGCCTCTGCATTATGGCAGATGGAAGATGCGTGAATTTCAACTCCCAGAATTTCCTAACTGAACTGCTGGCTGGAGGATTCTGGGAGTTGAAGTCCACCCCTCTTAAAGCATGCTGGCTGGGGAATTCTGGGAGTTGAAGTCCACCCCTCTTAAAGCATGCTGGCTGGGGGATTCTGGGAGTTGAAGTCCACCCATCTCAAAGCATGCTGGCTGGGGAATCCTGGGAGTTGAAGTCCACCCCTCTTAAAGCATGCTGGCTGGGGGATTCTGGGAGTTGAAGTCCACCCATCTCAAAGCATGCTGGCTGGGGAATCCTGGGAGTTGAAGTCCACCTCTCTTAAAGCACCTTGGCTGGGGGATTCTGGGAATTGAAGCCCATCCATCTTAAAGCTGCCAAGTTTGAAAAACACGGTTCTAAAAGTATTAAATTTCAACTGCGTTAATTGTCATCTGTCTAGCTGCCAATGAGCAGCATTTCTGTGCATTCCATGAGCTGATATAAAATTATTTGGACTCCTGGGGGGGGGGCGGTAATCCCCAGGGACACGAAAAGGATCTGGCTACAAGACTTTGTAATTCCTGCTTTCCGGAACAGTTTTCTGACTTCCCAGTCTAAAAATACTAAAACACAGCTCCCCAGGGAGCAGAAAAGCACACAAACCAGGGTCTAATATCAGCTAAACACACATTTGTAACTAAGTGGGGTTTTCTGCTCCCTGCCCCTTTGATTTCTTGCCCTAGAGATGATGTACCGCCTTAAGGTCTTCGCACAGAACATGGAAATCAGCCAAGTCTTGCAGGACACCGAGTTGGGGACCGCCCAATATGGCATCACCCCTTTCAGTGATATGACAGGTAACACAAAAGGGGAAACGAAACGTTTGATCGATGGGGGTGACGAAGCTACAAGCCAGGATGCAGAATAACAGAATAGAAGTAATCCTCAACTTACAACCATTCACAATTAATCTGTGGAACAGCTTTATGGGTGCACCAACATCTGGAGCTTTGAAGAAGAGACTGGGCGGCCACTTGTCAGAAATGGTCTCGGGGTCTCCTGCTTGAGCAGGGGGTTGGACTGGAAGACCTCAAAAGGTCCTTTCCAGCCCTAGGATTCTATGAAATGGCGATGGGGAGGCAGGGCCCGAGAATCGGAAGGGAGGGGGGGCATTCCCACCAAAGCAGCCAGCAGCCCTGCTTCCTTCGGTAAGTGAAATGTGTCGGGTAAACCGCGCAGCCCCCGTTTGCAAATTGGAAAGTGTGGATGTTGAGAGCGTGTGCAAGCAAAGACCCCCAGCTTGGCTTTGTGGTGAGCTGAGTGTTCCCGTCCTCGGCAGGTAGGCGGGCCGTCATGCCGCTGTGGCAAGCAGGATGTTTAGAGACGAGCCTATCACAGGAGCCAAGCTCAGTGCAAAGTCTAACCAACCGAATTTCAGCCTTGTTGCATCAACAAGAATTGGAAGGGACCTTGTAGGTCATCTAGTCCAACCCCTTGCTCAAGCAGGAGACCCTATACCATTTCAAACAAATGGCTGTCCAGTCTCTTCTTCAAAACGTCCAGTGTTGGAGCATTCACCGCTTCTGGAGGCGGGTTGTTCCACTGGTTAATTGTTCCAACTGTCAGGAAAATTCCTCCTTAGTTCCAGGTTGCTTCTCTCCTTGATGAGTTTCCATCCGTTGCTTCTTGCCCTGCCTTCAGGGGCTTTGGAGAATAGGTTGGCCCCCGCTTTGACCTCAACTAAGCAATGGATGTAAACTAATTTCTGTTGTTAAGTGAAACATTTGCTGGGTTTTGCCCCATTTTACAGCTGTTAAGCGAATCACTGCAATTGATAAGTAAGTAACCCAGTTGTTAAATGAAACTGTCTTTCCCCCATTGACTTCAATTGTCAGAAGGTCACAAAAGGTGATTGCGTGACCCCGGGATGCAGCAACGGTTGTTAAGTATGAACCAGCTGCCGAGCATCTGAGTTTAGATCACACAATCACAGGAATGCCACAAAGATTGTCGCTCTGAAAAAACGGTCACGTCACATTTTTTCAGTGCTGTCGTAACTTTGAACGGTCCACTAAATGAACGTTGTAAATCGAGGACCACCTGCAACTCCTCTTGTGAAGAGACAGCAGACAGATTACAGGGAGTCCACAAGTTACCAACATTGATTGTGCTGAGCCTAAACCTAGCTAACATGTCTCGAATCAGCCACAATGAGTTTGCCTCACAAGGCACACACAGCCTGGAGTTTTGATTTACAAATGCAACTGGCTGCACCCAGCAAAGCCAGCTTAACTCGGATCTAGCCTTTGCATTTTATTTTCCTTTTTTGGGGGGGCCAAGCGCATCCAAAGTAACCTGGTTTGTAATCCTGGCTAAGCCCAGGCTTGAGGTGGCCCAGCTCGGAAAATGTCCTGAGCTAAACTGAAACAGCGTTTGCGGGCGGTCAGATATGTTGTGGGAAGCTGCTGTTATCTCAGGGGCTGGCAGGAAACAGTTTAGGAGTGTCGCTTACACAATTGGTCTTTTGTTTGGGCACGGCAAGCGCTGTGGGTTTAAGCGGCGGGTGTGTTATTCGCCCTGGTTGAAGGGATGAGCTGGAGGTGGTGGTGGTGGTGGGAGCAATTTGGCTGGCACAAAACTGGGTGGAAATACCGAGCAAATGGTCAAAGAAAGTTTAATTCACCACCCTAAGGAATTTTTGCCCGAGTCTCGCAAGGCTATCGAGCAGAATCAAAAGATCTGGCTTTAATTCGTGTCTCTTTCCTCACTCCTATTTTTGTGAAGGTATACAACCCCCAAGGCCGGCCAAACGAACTTGGCAGCCGAGGCTAAAAATTCCACACGGACATCTCCCGCTTTGGGAGAGTAAAAATAGAAAAATTAATAAAAAAGAAGGCAGGAGTTGCCGCCACGCAAGTGCGATGGGTCAGCTCTCCTTGGTCTGTTTTAAACGTTTGACCGGGGTCGTTTTAATTGCCGAAGGGCAGGCAGGCAGAAGGCCAACCGGGAATGCCTTCAGCATCAACACAAAGGCTCCTTGACTTACGACCGTTTGTTTGGTGGGTGCTGATTGCTGGCGGAGAGGTGCTTTAATTTAAATTTAATGCCGCAACAGGTAGACATAGTTAACCATGGTTTCAGTTGGGGAAATGGGAGCATCCTAGACTGGGCCAAGTCCGAAAATGCCAGGGCATTTCCGGAAGCCTGGCCCGCTGACCAATCGGCCCTCCACAGACACGCAGACATTAACAATACCTGTAGAGCAGTGTTTCCCAAACTTGACAATTTTAAGCCATGTGGACTTCAACTCCCAGAATTCCACAGCCAGCATTGCTGGCTGTGGAATTCTGGGAGTTGAAGTCCACATGCCTTAAAATTGTCAAGTTTGGGAAACACTGCTGTAGAGCATGCAAAAGGGACAATCAATCAGCCCAAAAGAGAAGAAGACTCCAACACACACACACACACACACACACACAACACACACACCAGTAGCCAGCACCCAGATCAGCATAGATTAGCTCCAAGGTCAACTTCAGACCAACGATCAAGTAATTCAATGGCCCAATCAAGAAACTGCCACACAGCCATTAGTAAACAGCCCAACCAAAGAATCCCGGCCCGCCTCAACTCACCCAGATAGACAAGACACCAGAATATAAACTGCTGGCAAATTGCACTCCTTACTAGCACTGATGATGTTCCCTAGTTGGGTCATGAAACGTCTGCAAGAAAACAGCCAAGCTCAGAGAGCAACAAGGAGCCCACAATCCTCCTAGTCCTCATTTTCCTCCTCCTCCTCTCCACAAACACCCATCCCTTCCAGCACTGATGATGTTCCCTAGTTGGGTCATGAAACGTCTGCAAGAAACAGCTGAGCTAAGAGATCACCCAGGAGCCCACAATCCTCCTCCTCCTCCTCCTCCCCTCTCCACAAACCCCATTCCCTTCCAGCACTGATGATGTTCCCTAGTTGGGTCATGAAACGTCTGCAAGAAAACAGCCAAGCTCAGAGAGAACCCAGGACCCCTCACTTCAACCCTGAGCTACGAAGGTTCTCCTTCATTGAACATAACGTAGGCTTTCTTCCCTACACAGAAAGTGAATTTGCTACGAGGCTTGGCAACCCCGTCGTGCGGGCTGCACCTGTTGTGCCAACGCAACGACACCGCAGCTCCTCGACAGCCTCCAGATCCTGCGACTGGAGAAAGGCGGCGGTGTCCACCGTGAAGGCCCAGGTGAGTGTGGACAGACCAAGGGGCCAGGCTACCTTCTGCAACCACGGAAGCCCTAGGAGAGCACAGCCATGGTTAGAAAGGGGAGGATCCTAGTTTAACGTTTCCAATCTCTTTCCTAGGGAAACTGCAGCTCCTGCTGGGCCTTTGCAGCCGTGTCCAACATAGAGGCCTTGTGGAAGATTCACCGAAATGTGAACTGCAGCCTCTCGGTGCAAGGTAGGTCAGAGGACGAAAAATGGGGAAGGCAGGGGAGAAAGGAGAAAGACAATATTTTTCAACCTGGGTAACTTTTAAGTTGGGTGGACTGCAACTCCCAGAATTCCTTGCTGGCTAGGGAATTCTGGGAGTTGAAGCCCACCCATCTTGAAGCAGGCTGGCTGGAGAATTTTGGGAATTGAAGCCCGCCCCTCTTAAAACATGCTGGCTGGGGGATTCTGGGAATTGAAGTCCACCCTTCCTGAAACATGCTGGCTGGGGACTTCTGGAAGTTGAAATCCATCGTTTAAAGCATGCTAGGTGGGGAAATCTGGCAATTGAAGTCCATGCATTTTAAATTATGCTGGCTGGGGAATTCTGGGAGTTAAGTCTACTTATCTTCAGGCATGCTGGTTTGGGAATTCTGGGAGCTGATGTTCACCCTCTTAAAGCATGCTGGCTGGGGAATTCTGGGAGTTGAAGTCCACCCCTCTTAAAGCATGCTGGCTGGGGGATTCTGGGAGTTGAAGTCCACCCCTCTTAAAGCATGCTGGCTGGGGGATTCTGGGAGCTGGTGTCCACCATCTTAAAGCTGTCAAGGTTGAGAAACACTGGGTAGTTTCTGCAATGGTGAAGCACGGTGTTCTGAAAACTCAGTTTGGGGAGTTGGGGACAGGCTGGGTGATACAGAGGGCGGATTAATTGGGAACTGGGGGAAGGCAAGTGTCTTCCATCGCTATGTGAGAATCTTCTTCGAAATAATCTTTTTTTTCTTCTCCTTTCATTCTAGAACTCGTTGACTGCACATATCCTTCCAGAGGCTGTCTAGGTGGCTACGCCTGGGACGCGTTTCTGTTTGTCGTCAACAACAGTACGTAGGCAGCCCAGTTTGTTGCGTTCTTTTGCGGCAGCATGTACGTGCGTTCACACAACTGTTCCCCCTCACTGGACTCTGGGCTGTGACGGCTCAACCCATGTTGCAGCCTCACAACCATCCAACAAGATGGGCTCTGTGTGATAGGTGGGTGATTTGAACCTGGAGGCAGCGATAAGACAATAATGTAGTTGGAAGGGACCTTGGAGGTCATCTAGTCCAACCCCCTGCTCAGGCAGGAAAACCTATAGTACCATTTCGGACAAGTGGCTGTCCAGTCTCTTCTTAAAAACGTCCAGTGTTGGAGCATTCACCGCTTCTGGAGGCAGGTTGTTAATAATAATAATAAAGTTGGAAGGGATCTTGCAGGTCATCTAGACCAACCCCCTGCTCAGGCAGAAAACCCTATACCATTTCGGACAAATGTCCAGTCTCTTCTTAAAAACTTCCAGTGTTGGCGCGTTCACAGCTTCTGGAGGCAGGTTGTTCCACTGGTTAATTGTTCTGTCAGGAAGTTTCTCTTTAGTTCCAGGTTGCTTCTCTCCTTGATTAGTTTCCACCCATTGCTTCTTGTCCTGCCTTCAGGCGCCTTGGAGAATAGCTTGACTCCCTCTTCTTTGGGGCAGCCCCTGAGATATTGGAACACTGCTATCATGTCACCCCAAGTCCTTCTTTTCATTAAAGTAGACATCCCCAATTCCTGCAACCACATCTGTTGTTTGATGGAACAGCTCGGCTTGCTTGTAGTAACAACTGAGGGTTGTTTTTTGTGCAGCAGCAAACTCAGTTTGGTTAGTGAATTATCTGCGTAGTCGTTAAAACGCTTTCAAAGCAGGGGAGTGTTATTTAACTGCCAATGTTAGGAAAAATCCAAAATAATAACGGTGATAAAACTTGGGCTTTTAGAAAAGTCTTGCTCATTTACCCCTTTCCTGGACCATCCTCTGTTTCTTTTCTAGCTGGATTATCATCAAGCAAGCTTTACCCCTACGCAGAGAAAAAACAGCGCTGCCAGAAATACAAGTGGCGAAAACTAACCAAGATTGATGGTTACAGCATCCTTCCAAGGGATGAGAGATGTAAGTCTTTGGCAAAGGGCTGGATTGAGACTTCTGAATTATAAGGATCTTGGGAGGAAAAATTAAGGAGGTTTGCTAAAGATAAAAACTTTCTGCAGATGGAAAAATTGGAGTGAGAATACAAAGATTTATCTGCAAGTCTCTTTTACAGGTTTAACGAATTTTTACATATTTAAACTTGGATTGCACTGATAGGATGCCAAGCCAACAAACAACATGATGGCTTAATACAGGTAGTCATTGACGTACAATCCTTCGTTTAGTGACTGTTCAAAGTTAACAATGGCGCTGGAAACAGTGATTTACAACCAATCCTTGCATTTACAACTGTTGCAGCGGTCCCACGGTCATGTGATCAAAATTTGGACGTTTGGCTTCTTATAAGGAAAACCTCTACAAGATGTTTCATAGATGGCATTTCTCACCCACAAAGTTAGCCAAAATGGGCCCAAATATCTCACCTATATGTTGGAAATGCAACATAGCAATAGGGACCTATTACCACATGTGGTGGGAATGTCCCAAAGCCTGTAACTATTGGAATAGGATAAGAAAATGTTGAAAGAAATATTAATGTTGGAGACAGAGCTAAAACCTTGATGTTGCACATTTTGACTGCTGCTAGACTGGCGTTTGCGCAAAAATGGAAGAATAAAGAAGCTCCTACAGATGAAGAAATACTACATAAAATACTATCTTGTGCTGAAATGGACAGGCTTACGATGGAATTGAAAAATAAAAGTGGATCAGAATATTTCGAAATCAGGGATAAATTGTACTATCGGTGGGACTCAAGGAAGACTGTTGGGGTTACAGATTAGCGATAAGAAGGGAATATACAGAATCATAGGTTAGCAAATAGAGAAAATGTATTAAGTATTGAATAAAAAATCTATATGTATTTATAGAGATATAGAATTGAATGTAAGAAGAGAAATAATTGGATAGAAACGTTTAAACTGGTATGTTACGTCATGTCCAATGTTTTATTTTTTTAATTGTATTATAAATAAAAAAACTTTTAGGAAAAAAAAAAATTGGACGTTTGGCCACAGCTGCAGTGTCCTGGGGTCATGTGATCCCCATTTGGGACCTTCCCAGCGGGCTTCTGATCAGCAAAGTTAAGGGGGGGGGGAGCCTGATTCGCTTAAAAGCGGTGTGATTCACTTAACAACCACAGTGATGTGCTTAACCACCTTGGCAAAGAGATCAAATTTGGCGTGACTCACTTTAAAACTGAATGGAAATGGCAGACCACAACTAGGCCCAAATTTATGTGGCTAAGGGAACATTTGTCAAGTGAGTTTTGCCCCTTTTGACCATTTTTCTGCCTCAGTTGTTAAATGAATCATTGCAGCTGCTAAATAACCCGGTTGTTATGTGAATCTGGCTTACCCCACTGCCTGTTGGAAGGTGGCAAAAGTCAATCACGTGACCCCGGGATATCGCAAACCATCATCAATATGGACCGGTTGGCGAGGGTCTGAATGTGGATCATGTGACTATAGCGATGCTGCAACGGCGGTGTGAAAAATGGCCCGCAAGTCCCTTTTTTTCGGTGCCGTTGTAATTTGGAACGGACACTAAACGGACTGTGGCAAGTCAAGGGCTGCCTGTATTCGGGAGGGGAAATGAATTTAGCTCCCTAAATCCTGACTTTGCTCTCCTAGATTTTGCTTGTCCGAGCTTCAGTGTTAATTTGTGCTGCTTTTCTCCCAGATATCGCTAACATTGTGGCCACTCAAGGTCCCGTAACAGCTCTCATGAACGCCAAAGTCATTAAGGTGAGTGTCAGGTAAAATTCTGGTGGAGAAGGGAGGGGAGAAGGAAACGTCTTTTGTTGGCTGGGTTCTTTTGTGGCTGAATTTTCCCAGCCTCCTAACCTCCCAAAGATGCTTTTTTAACGAGGCGACTGGACTTTTTTTGTTTTTCTCTGAAGACGTTTTGCTTCCCGTCCAAGAAGCTTCATCAGCTCTGACTGGATGGTGAGGAATGGAAGGATTTATACTCCTTGCAGACAGCTGGTCATTTGCCTTGTTTTAGAGCAGGGGTCTTCAAACTTGGCCCTTTTATGACTTGTGGACTTCAACTGCCAGAATTCCTCAGCCAGGCACACTGGTTGAGGAATTCTGGGAGTTGAAGTCCACAAGTCCTAAAAGGGCCAAGTTGGAAGACCCCTGTTTTAGAGGGTCGTTGAGGCCACTTGGAGATTTACCTGTGTCCTCAGGGTTTACCTGAGTGGTGCAAATGGGTGTGGATCCTTCCTGGAACTGCTGAAAGGACTGTGTTCCACACCCATTTGTACCACTCAGGTGACCCTAAGCGCACAGGTAAACCTCCAAGTGGCCTCAACGACTCTTTAAAAGGAGGCAAATGACCAGCTGTCTGCAAGGAATATAAATCCTTCCACTCCCCACCATCCAGTCAGAGCGGAAGAAGCTTCTGGGAGGAGAAGCGAAACGTCTTCAAAGAAAAACAAGAAAGTCCAGTGGCCTTGTGGAAAAAAAGCACCTTTGGGACAACCAGGAACTGGAGGACCGAGAATCTCCATAGACCTCCAGCCTCCTAACCTGGATTAATCTGAACTCAGGTCAGCTCCAGTATGTATGTGTGGCTTAGTACCTAGACTTAACCCAATGTTCAGGCAATTCAGGATGGAGCTGTTGTATGCCAAAGAAATTCACTGGGTGACTTTGAGGCCGGGCAATTTTTCTCTGCCTGGCCTTCTTCACAGGGCTGTTGTTATAGGCATCCAAGGAAGGAGAGCCCCTTGTGTCTTTGGAGGGAAATAGCCTAAGAAAGAAATAGAGGCAGTCCTTGACTTACAACGGTCCATTTAACGACCGTTCAAAGCTACAACGGCACTGGGGGGGAAAAAGACCATTTTTCACACTTGCAATCAAAAGTGATCAAAAATCAAACGCTTGGCCACTGACTCCTATTTATGACGGTCGCAACGTCCCAGGGCCACGGGATCCCCTTCTGTGACCTTCCGACGAGTCCGTAAGGAAGCCAGATTCACTTAACAATGGTGTTACTCGCTTAACGACTGCAGGCGTTCGCTTAACAGCCAAGTGGCAAGAAAGGTCGTAAGATGAGGCAAAATTTACTTAACAGCCGTTTTGCTTAGCAAAACGGAAATTTGAGGCTCCCTTGTGGTCGTAAGTCAAGGACTACTTGTACAAATCTAGGCTTAAGTTTGTGGCTCGCAGAAAAAACGGGTCAACCCACAGAGGGTACATGTGAATGTGCCCCCCCCCAGAGCAGGTTCTAGAAAGGATGATTCAGAAAAGCAGAGACCTAGACAGGTGACCGGAGTTTAACCACCATTCCTCTATGGCTAATCATGGTCTGTTTGGATTCTCTCTGTGCGGCAGCATTACAAAAAAGGCATCATCCAGAGGGCCAAGGTGAGCTGTGACCCCAACTGGCTTGACCACGTGGTCCTTATTGTTGGCTTCGGTGAAGGTAAGCCATGTATCCTTGGCTGTTGGGGCCCACTGGACCCTGGCTTAATTCTCCATTCAGCCCTTGGGGGGGGGGCACACCCCACCAGTTTTGAGATGGGAATCATAACCCCAGTTTGAAGGCAGTTGGGTTGTTTACCTGAGGCAGTTAAGGTCCTAAATTTGGAGTTTTAATCAGATTTAGTCTATATTAAAGGTAATATAGAAACACACAGGGCCTTCTTGACAAGAGGAAAGAGGTAAAGAGCATCCATGACCAGGTGTTGTTGTTGGTTTTTTTTTTTTGGTTGCAGGCAAAATCCGACGCGGTACCTGGAGCGGATCGTACTGGATTATCCAGAACTCCTGGGGAAAAGACTGGGGAGAAGAGGTGGGTTGAGTCCCATAGATTGGTGGGAAAAGAGGATGGATGGAATTCTGGTCAAGTGGTGAAACCAGGAAATGGTGAGTTCTAGTACCTTAGGGACAAAAGCCGGCTGGGTGACTTTGGGCCAATCACCAGGAGACGGTGAGTTCTAGTCCTGCCTTAGGCATGAAAGCCAGCTGGGTGACTTTGGGCCAATTGCCAGGAGACGGCAAGTTCTAGTCCTGCTTTAGGCATGAAAAGTGGCTGGGTGACTTTGGGCCAATTACCAGGAGACAGTGAGTTCTAGTCCTGCCTTAGGCGTGAAAGTTATCTGGGGAATCCTGGGAGCTGAAATCCACACATCTGAAAATGGCTGAACTGGAGAAGCACTAGCCCAGATGATCTTCTGGATACTCTTGACCTGGATAACGTGGGGAAATGACTTGGGTAAACCAGGACCCAGTTCCGGGGCAGGGAAAGCATCGAACGGTCTCTAAACAACTGGTTGTAAGCCAGGAGAAACTTCCTAACAGTGAGGACAATTAACCTGAGACAAGTGGCTGTCCAGTCTCTTTTTAAAAAAATCTCCAGGGTTGGAGCACCCACAACTTCTCAAGGCAAGCAGTTAATTGTCCTCACACTTTGAGAAAGTTCGAAGCTACAACAGCACTGAAGTGCTTAAGACCAGTCCTCAGACTTATGACCTGCAGCATCTCTGCAGTCAGAAGTCGTGGGTGTTTCATCACTGGAGGTTTTTAAGAAGGGACTGGCCAGCCGCTTGTCTCAAGTTGTATGGGGTCTCCTGCTTGAGCAAGGGGCTGGACTAGAAGGCCTCCAAGGTCCCTTCCAGCTCTATTCTGATAGATTGGATTGACTAGCTCACAGTTCGGCAACCTGTGGCTCCAGAGCCGCATGTGGCTCTTTGAGCCTTCCCCTGTGGCTCCCAGTCTCCTCTGCCATTTGCAGAGAGAGATAGAGACAGAGGCACTTGTGCTTCCCTGCTTCTCTCTCTTTGTGTGTGTGTGTGTGTGTTTGTATGTAAAAAAGAGAATGGACTCACTGTGTTCTCCGAGGAGCTGAAAACTTTTTGGGCGGAGCTCCTCCCTTTGCTGCGGCTCTGCAGGAAACAGGAAGCAGGAAGGGCAGGAGAGAGCTAGTTAGCCCAGCTCTGTTGACTCAGGAATTCTGGGAGTTGAAGTCCATGAGTCATAAAAGAGCCCAGGTTGCCTACTCCTGAGCTAGCCCAATAAGAATGTGTGTCAGCTGGTTGGAGAACAGCTTGAAGCCAGCTTGCCAGGTGAGCAGAAGATCGGAGAGAGGAAGAGAGAAAGAGAGGGAGAGAAAGAGAGAGAGATGGAGCGAGAGAGAGAGGGAGAGAAAGAGAGAGGGAGGCAGAGAGAGACAGAGAGAGACCCTTTTGACATCTAAAATGAAGATAACACTGCATATATCCTTTTTTACCTGTGTGTGTATGTATGTATACATACATACACACACACAAAGACAGACAGACACACCTATAATAAAGGTAAAAAAGGATATATGCAGTGTTATCTTCATTTTAGATGTCTATGCAGTGTTATCTTCATTTTAGATGTCAAAAGGGTTTTGCAGCTCCCGGTGTTTTGTTTTCGGTGGGAAACGGGTCCAAGTGGCTCTTTGAGTGTTTTGGGTTGCCTACCCATGGACTAGCTGTATTACTTAAGGATATCCGATACTTGAACTGAACCTTTTATCTTTTCTCTTAGGGCTACTTCCGGATGGACAGGGGCTCAAACACTTGTGGGATTGCCAAGTATGCCGCAACAGCAATCGTCCACGACTTGGGAGGACAGAAGCCGCCTCCTTGCCCCAAATGATGGTTTGCATGCATCTTGTCTGTCTTTAAGGCAACCGCTTTGGAGCACCGAGTGGCATTCTTTCGCAAGCTTTAGCAACCTGGCAACCTAACCCTAACCCCCCCCCCACTACACCAATTGATTTTCTTGGCTTCTGTGAAAGGCAGGGCTTTGATTTTTCTTAAGTTTTAAAAGCAACAGGCCAGCAATGTTAACCTTGTAGAACTGCCAACTTAACGTTGGAGAAGGATGGATAGGATCCCCAGTCTGGTGGCAAAATCCTTGGGTCGAAAAACCTGGCTATTTTCTGCACGTGCAGAAGGCGGGTGCGTAGTGGCCCAGGGGGGGGGGGAAGGAATATCTGAGGGATAGAGAGACGGAAGCGGAACAAAATCCACGGACAGAATGTGTTCTACAGGTAGCTTACTGCCGTTCGTTTAGTAAGCGTTGGAAGTTACAACGGCGCTGAAAAAAAGAGGGACTTTTGACCGTTTTTCAGAGTTACAACTTTTGCAAACCCCCCCAGGGCAACGGACTCAAATTTATGACCGCTGCTCTATCGTGTGATCCCCTTCTGAAACTTTTTGACTAAGCATCAGCCGGAGTGATTGGTGAACAACGGTGGCAAGAAAAAGTCGCAAAACGGGGCAAAACCCACTCAAGACATGCCTCGTTTAACGACAGAAACGTTGAGCTCAATGGCGGTCATTGAAGTCGAAGACGACCTGTCTATCAAAATGAAGAAAGCAGGTTGGGAACGTACAACGAACACCGCTTGATTCGTTTCCGCACGGAATGAATAAAAAGGGACCTCATCAAAACAGCCATGTATTCTTTTCTCTCCCCCCCCCAATTCAGGAATCAAAACCATCTTTGGCTATGTATGAACCACCCCCCCAAAAATAAAATAAAATAAAATAATTCCCCCTCCTCCTATTTGTTCCTCTCTTCATCTACTCCCCCTTTCCCCCCCATTTCAGCTGTGAAAGGAAGGAAGATTTTGGCTTTTTGGCCCCTGCATTTTTCTATTTCGATTTAGATGTGAGTGGATGTGTTTTTTTCACACCTCCAAAGTCACAAGGTCTATTTGGGGTTTTGTATCTTTATTTCTTTCGGCTTTTTTTCCCCCTCTTGGTTTCATTTCGTTTCCACTGTGTGCTCCAACCCGCTATGGTTGGTTAATCTGATGTGGCCACCTCATATTTCTTTCACTTATATATATTTAAAGGTAAACATACACACAGTGGAGGGGGAGGAAAAAGCAAGAATATATTTTGTACAGACTGAATATTCCCAAGTCTGAAGCTGCTGGGCCTATCGGGAAGAATCTGTACAGTATCCTCAGCCCTGAGCTAAATTAATCAGAAATGAAAAGCTATTCTTATGCCTAATAACCCTAAATAGAGCAGTGTGAAAACAAAGGATGGCTGTATTCCTTACTCAAATGTGGACTTTGACTCCCAGAATTCTTAAACCTGCTGGGGGGATTCTGGGAGTTGAAATCCATCCATCTCAAAGCATGCTGGCTGGGGAATTCTGGGAGTTGAAGTCCATCCATCTCAAGGCATGCTGGCTGGGGAATTCTGGGAGTTGAAGTCCACCCAATTTAAAGGGTGCTGGCTGGGGGATTTTGGCAGTTGAAGTTCACCCATCTTAAGCGTGCTGGCTGGGGAATTCTGGGAGTTAAGTCTACCTATCTTCAGGCATGCTGGCTGAGTTGGAGGGCACCGATGGATTGCCCATTCCATCTAGAGCATCTGATCTTCTTGAACATCTTTGCAAGCTGACCGTCAGGATGCCACTTTTAAGGCAGCAAGCCTTAGACTGTCCTTGGGGTCCAGGTGCCCAAATGAGATCACCTTTAAAGGGGTGGAAATGGGTGGGGGGGGGAAGAGGAGGGAGGCTGAATAAATTACCCGGAGAGTGCAAGAAAAAACAACAACAACAGAGGACTTCTTGAGAAGGGAAACGAGATCTCTTCTCATAAACCAGGCTGTTACTGCTAGGAGGAATATGACTGTCAGCTTCGGATTCACACCGTGGTAGGAAAAAGGGTGTGAATAATAATAATAATAAAAAAAAGCCCACAAAGATGAAAAAAAAGCTGGCAAGCTTTTGAAGCACGTTGCTGTTCCCCTGGTTGCAAAAATGAAAAAGAAGAAGAGAAAAGCCAAGTCTGGAAAATAGGAAAGAAAAAAAAAACAGAGAGCCTTGCTTTCAGGAAACGAAAGGGAGGAAGGGCAACCCCCCCCCCCCGCAGATAGTCCTCAACTTACAGCCCTTCATTTTGCAACCATTTAAAAGGTCAACGGCAATGACAATAGTGACCTACCACCGGTCCTCACACATACGACCGCTGCAGCATCCCCCAAAGTCAGGTGATCCAAATCCAGGCACTTGGCAGCTGGTATGCATGTATGCCAATTGCAGTATCCCAGGGGTCACCTGATCCCGTTTTGTGACTTTCCCCAAGCCAAGTCAACGAGGGAAGCCCGATTCGCTTAACGACGGCTTGATTCGCTTAACAACCGCCATGCTTTGCTCAACAGCCCTGACAAAAAAAAAAAGGGTGTGGAATTGGGCCCCGAGTCACTTAACAGCTGCCTTGCTTAGTAACGGAAATTCTGGTCCTGATGGAGATCGTTAAGTAGAGGACGATCTGCAAAGCTAACTTCAAGAAGCACAAGGCGGGAGGTTTTTGCAAGACCTGAACCAGGAATGTCCAAATGTGTCAGTTTTGAAGACTGGTGGACTTCAACTCCCAGAATCCCCAGTCTGATACCTCCCTTCCCCCGGCCGTTTGATGGCAGGACGCCAACGAAGTGCCAAGACGAGGACGGTGGATCTGACCAAGTGTGCCTGGCTGGGGAATTCTGGGAGTTGAAGTCCACTCCTCTTAAAGTCTATATCAGGGGTCTTCAAACTTGGCCCTTTTAGGACTTGTGGACTTCAACTCCCAGAATTCCTCAGCCAGGCACACATGCCTGGCTGAGGAATTCTGGGAGTTGAAGTCCACAAGTCCTAAAAGGGCCAAGTTTGAAGACCCCTGTCCTAAACCAAGAGTTGTATGCTACTCAGTTCAGGAAAGTACCCGTGTTTCCTCGCAAATAAGACCGGGTCTTATATTAATTTTTGCTCCAAAAGACGCATTAGGGCTTGTTTTCCAGTTGGGTCTTATTTTGGGGGAAATACGGTACTAAATGCATCCATCTGATGGGCTGACGATCTTAACTGGGGCTTATTTTGGAGGTGGAGTTTATATTATGAGCATCCTGAAAAAAAATCAAGATTTCTGGTTGGGTCTTATTTTGGGGGAAGTACAGTACAGCCAAGGAATCTTTCCTTGCAGAACCTCCTGTTCAAGAGGGAATGCTCCTTCCCTTTGGCCTGGAGAATAAATATAATTTATTGGGCTGTTCTGGCCTCCTAGCCTCGCACTGCTGTTCGACAGCTTCCTTCCCCAAGTCTGCTAATTCTAACCTGCCTGGGTGGGACTTGCTCCTTAAGCAGCAAACGGGAATCTTCTTCCAGCCTTTGGGAAGAGGCTACTTCTTCCAGCACTGGGACTCCTCTCCCCCTGTTCCTGGCCGTTGTGTCGAGGCGGTCAAGAAAGGCTGTACTGAGATGGATGAGCGCGGGTCCTCCCCTCGGAAGCGGTTCACGCAGCTGTCAAGCCTTCGCTCACGGGCATGCTAATGTGGGCCGTGAGCAGCGGCTGGCTGCTGCCTTCCTGGAGCACAAACACCTGCGGGGGAAGCAAAGGATACAGCTGAAGGTCAAGGAGATTTAAAGAGGAGATGTGTGTGTGTGTGTTTGTGTGTGTGGAGCGCAGAATGGGAGACGGAGGCCTGCAGAGGAAATTTGGCGATCGAGGTAAACAAACCACAGCGAGTGGGGCTGTGAGCGACGGCACCCGACGCTCATGTGGATCATCCGGTTGTAAATAGGCCACGGCCCAGCCGTGGATCACAGGCCACAGGTTGGGGACCCCTGTTCTAGACCAACCCCTAGGTAGTTATTCAAGTAGTCCTCAACCTACAACGGTTCATTTAGTGACTGCTCAAAGGTACAACGGCACTGAAAAAAAGTGACTGAGGACCATTCTCCACAGTTACATCCTTTGTACCATTCCCTGTGATCATACGATCAAGGTTTAGATGCTTGGCGAGTGGCTCATCCTTATGACCTTTGCTGTGTCCCAGGGTCATGTGATCGCCTTTTGCAAATATTCCAATCAAACGGCTGTCTAGTCCAGGGGTGTCAAACTCAATTTCACTGAGGGCCGCATCAGCATTGTGGTTGCCCTCGGTGTGTGTGTGTGTGTGTGTCCAGGATGGGTGCAGCCTACTGGGTGGGCGTGGATGGAGTGGGTGTGGCCTACTGGGTGGGCATGGCCAGCTCTACATCGTTCGCATCAAGGGTGCCTGTGGGGGCCTGGGCAGGAGTGGGACAGATCTGAGGGTCTCTGGTAGAAGGGGGTGGGACCAGGGCAAGCGCCAAGGCACGGTCCATTTCTTCATTCCTCACAAAGGGTGACACCTCCCCAATATGCACCCAGGAGGCAGGGCAGACATGGCAGGGACTGGTTCCTTGCTGTTTCTAGATAGCCTTGTGGAGCTAAGACTGCATGCGTTTCAGCATAGGTGGCCACCACAAAATTGTACATTGGCTCTCGGCCGGCCTGGGCCAGGGCCAAGGCAGCGGGGGCCGTTCCCTCACTGTTTCCAGGATGGTTTCGCGGGCCACATGAAACCACTTCGCGGGCCGCATCCGGTCCCCGGGCCTTGGGTTTGACATGTCTGGTCTAGACTCTTCTTAAAAACCTCCAGTGATGGAGCACCCACAACTTCTGGAGGGAAGTTGTTCCACTGGTTATTTAATAGAATATCAGAGTTGGAAAGGACCTCAGGGGTCATTTAGTCCAACGCCCTGCTCAAGCAGGAGACCCTATACCAGGGGTAGGCAACCTTGGCTCTTTTGTGACTGGTGGACTTCAACTCCCAGAATTCCTGAGCCAGCCTGGCTCAGCTTGGAAACCTCTCCCTTTCCCCACAGCATGGCTGCCTCAGGAATTCTGGGAGTTGAAGTCCAGGAGTCATAAAACAGACAAGGTTGCCTACCCCTGCCCTATACCATTTCAAACAAATGGGTGTCCAATCTTTTCTTAAAGTCTCCAGTGATGGAGCACCCATAACTTCTGAAAGAAAGCAGTTCCACTGATTAAATAAATGTTCTCACTGTCAAGAAATTCCTCTTTAGTTCCAGGTTGCTTCTCTCCTTGATTAGTTTCCATCCCTTGCTTTTTGTCCTGCCTTCAAGTGCTTTGGAGAATAGCTTGACTCCCTCATCTTTGGGGCAGCCCTTCTGATATTGGAACACTGCTTTCAAGTCACCCCTAGTCCTTCTTTTCATTCAACCTTCTTTTCGCTGAACTAAGAGTTGGGAAAACCAACTCAAGGACACTGACCTTAATAACATCCGAGATCGCTTGTTCACTGAGACACTCGACAAAGGTGGCCAAAGGATAATTCAGTCCTGGGATCAACATGGGAGCCTGAAAAGAAAGTTGAAAAAAAGAGAAATAAATACAGATAATCCTCGGCTTACCAACCTTTGTTTAGTGACCATTCCAAGTTGCAGCGGCACTGTAAAAAGGGACTTACGACCGTTCTTCACAGTTACAATTGTTGCAGCGTCCCATGGTCACCTGATCAAAATTCAGACACTTGGCCATTGACTCCTATTTATGACAGCTGCAGGCTCCATTGTGGTCGTTAAGACGAGGACTACCTGTATAGTCAATATCCTGGATCTGGAGCATACAGGAAGACGGCCTAAAGTAGGCCTGGGTGATCTATAGTCCAGCATACCATGAAAATTATTAGTAAGTGGCGTGAATCCAATGATTGTACCGAGAAATACAGGCAGTCCTCAACTTACAACCATTTACTTAGTGACCATTCAACATTTCCATGGCACTGAAAAAAGTTACGGGTCCTTTTGCATTTAAGGCTGTTGCAGCGTCCCTGCAGTCATGTGATCAAAATTCAGGGGCTTGGCAACTGAGATGTATTTATGACGGTTGCATGATCCTGGGGAATCACGTCTCTCTCGCACACACACACACACCAGTTTGCAAACTTCTCAGACAGCTTCCAACAAGGATAATCTCAAGGGGGGAGGGGGAGAGAGCCAGGGAAGGGTGCAGTGTTACCTTGAAGAACGGGCGCTCCACGGAATAATGGTTTTCGTCGTAAATGAAGCAAATGAGAAGATTTGCTATCGCCCGAGTCTCAGACATGTTCTGGAGATTGAGACACAGTTTGAACGTGGGGCCCATGCCCTGCACCTGGAGAGGGAGGAAGAGGAGGAGGAGGAAGGAGCATTAAATGAAGACAAAGGACCTGGGGCAAGGAGAGAGACCCCAAAAAGGAGAGCTTATCTCCTTAAGCCAAAAAAACCTTTCAACTCCGGAAGTGCCAGAGAGGGCGAAAATATTCTTGATTATTCTAAATTGATTTCTCTTTGGGAAATCGTGTTTGCAGAGGCGACCTTTAGCAATCAAAACATCTTCTAAACCCCATGTTTCTTAAGTGTGGCAACTTGAAGCTATGCGGACTTCAACTCCCAGAGTTCCCCAGCCAGTTTGGTTTAAGATGGGTGGATTTCAACTCCCAGAATTTGCTGATAAGCACTCTTTAAGATGGGTGAATCTCAACTCTCAGAATTGCCTAGCCAGAGTGCTGGGATCTGAAGTCCATCCATCTCAAAACAGGCTGGCTGGGGTTTCTGGGAGTTGAATTCCATCCAGCTTAATTAATTAATTAATTAAAATGAGCCTTAAGCAGCCGGTGCACGAAATCTCTGCGGGAGAGAGAGCGGAATGGCTGACTGAGGAATTCTGGGGGTTGAAGTCCACATATCTTAAAGTGGCTTAGGTCGAGAATCGTTATGCTAGAACACATTTTGTTTCTTTATTTTTTTTTTAAAGTATGTTTTATTAATTCTTTAACATAATCGCCTTAATATTCGGTAGACAGTGCGTTGTCTGAGTTTACATTTATCGAACATTCCCTAACAATTAAATTCTATAATCTATCATCCACATAACAACTTTGCTTGATCTCCTCTTTTCCCCCGTAGTGTTCTCTTTTATCAACCTTAAGCAAATACAATTCTTATTGTTTTAATAAATGATGATTAAATATAAAAACTTTCTAATATTTCTACAAATAATAATCACATCAATATAATATTCCTTCTCTATCTAGTCATTCTGGTGGTCTCGTCATAGATCCAGTTGACAGTCCTTGTTTACATTTGTTTTTTTCTCACAGTGTTATAAACATTTTTACTGGTTAGGATTTTCTCAGAGTTTCATTACGTTTAAATATTTAAATCTGTTTTTTTCTCATGTAAACCAACCCAATACTTTTACCTGTGCTACAACACATTTTAAGCAGCGAGGACTTCAACTCCCAGAATTCCCCATCCCCACAAATGGAAGCCAATGCACACAACCTTGATAATATTGATCATTAGGAGGATGCAATTGAGGCCCAGGGCATTCCTAAACTCATCCACAACCTCTTAAATGGTTTCCTCACCACGGCGTTCAGCTTGAGTGGCTCCTGCAGGGATTCCGAGACGGGGGTCAGGCTGCACTCCAGCGCCCGGACGTAAGCGCGGGCCGCCGTGAGACGGATACGGCTGAGGTCTGTCTGAAAGACGTGGTGCATGGCTAGGAAAGGAAAGGAGAGAGGAGGATGAACGAAAAGCAGGCGAAGGAGTCCTTCTATTGGACCCCCTCTTACGATACAGGGAGTGTCCGACTTACGACGGCAACTGAGCCCGGAGTTTCTGTGGCTAAGCCAGACATTTGTTAAACGAGTTTTGCCCCGTTAAACGACCTTTCTTGCCACCGTTGTTAAGTCAATCACTGCAGTTGTGAAGTTAGTAACATATTGTTAACGGAGTCTGGCTTCCTTATTGATTTTTGCTTGTCGGAAGGTCGCAAAAGGGGCCCCGTCATAAATAGGAGTCAGCTGCCAACCGGCTGAATTTCGATCACATGACCTTGGGGATGCCGGCTTTTGTGCCTAAGGTGAGACTGGAACTCACTGGCTCCTGGTGACTGACATAAAGTCACCCAGCTGGCTTTTGTGCCTAAGGTGGCACTGGAACTCACCATCTCCTGGGGATTGGCCCAAAATCACCCAACCGGTTTTTATGCCTAAGGTAAGACTAGAACTTACCGTCTCCTGGTGACTGACTCAAAGTCACTCTGCTGGCTACTGTGCCTAAGGCGGAACTAGAACTCACCATCTCCTGGCGATTGGCCCATAGTAAAGCCCCAGCCAGTTCTCATGCATAAGGCAGGACTAGAACTCAGCATCTCCTGGTGATTGGCCCAGTTACTCAGCAGGCTATTCTGCCTAAGGTGGAACTAGAACTCACAATCTCCTGGTGGTTGGCCCACTAGAACTCACGGTCTCCTACTGACTGGCCCAAAGTCACCCAGCTGGCTTTTGTGCCTAAAGTGGGACTAGAACTCCCAGTTTCTAGCCTAGCACCTTCCCCTCTACCCCAAGCTGGCTCTCCTATCAATATCCAGACAGGGTTTGAAGGTAGACAATAGGCCTGAGAGACGGACCACTGTTCTGCTTACCTACTCCACATTCTCGTTCCCGCAGGGTCTGGTCCACGTAGAGTTTTGTTTTTTTGGGGATGTTGAGTTTGGCATTCTGGGCAACGGGGACACCGGCTGCTGCATCCCTCTTATGGAAAGTGCTGGTACGTTTCAAGATCTTGATGATCAGACAGCCACCTAGAGACAACATAAAAGTTTGAAGAGGGACGGATAGAGGCAGCACGGAGACTGCGGAAAGGCTAGCTGTCCTGCTCACATTAAGATTGAAAAGGCTTAACCAGGCCAAGGAACAAACTATATCAGTGGTTCTCAACCTTTTTAATGCCGCGACCCCCCCAACCGGTCGTAAGTCGAGGACTGCTCAACCAGTCGTAAGTCGAGGACTACTCAACTGTGCAGCACCGTTTGTAGACTGGGACAGCCTGGACAATTCCTATTGGCTTTTGAAAGCCGATAGAATTAGACTCTCTTCAAGAGAGTCTGTTCTACTGGCTTTCAAAAGCCAATAGAATAAAAGGGAGTAGCACAGCTAAGGAAAAGGGGGGGAAAATGGCGGACTGCGTTGTTTGGCGACCCCCGTGAAATGGTCGTTCGACCCCAAATGGGGTCCCGACCCACAGGTGGAGAACCACTGCACTAGATAGAGGCTGCATTTGGCCAAGATACTAAACTTAATTATTTTCAGTCTGGTTAGGTTTATGGGTGGCTTAGCATCAGAAGCCTCAGATCTTTGATTAGATTTAGCAATATCCAGCCAGAAAAGGGGTCAATTCAAGGTAGTGAATTGCACAAGTTGCCAGAACATAGCTGTAGTCCTCGACTTACGACCACAACTGAGCAAAGTCAATGGAGAAGGTTGGATTCACTGAACATCTGCATGATTCCCTTGACAACTGCTGTGATGGGATCCTGAGCCTCGCTTTGTTTACGTTCTCACCTTTGGTCGTCATGATGAGGGTGTTGTCCTCTCGCCCGTAGTGGCCGAAAACGATGCTGGTGACGACATCCTAGCGAGAATCAGAAAAAGACCAGGGAAATTGGTCAGCGGCGAGGGAGCGAAATCGGAAACATTTGAGAGGGGGGATGAGCTGTCTTTTGCTGGATATGTCCAAGCACAATCTGGACGTCACAGGTGTGAGGCTCTCTAGCTCGTCCTCGATTTACATCCATCATGCAGCTTGCCCTTACAGACATCAGTTGTGATGGTCATGAAAAGGATCGCTACAGCTCTAACCCAATTTTGCAACCTTTGGGGTTTTTTTGATGGTGGCCATGGGAGTGGAACACTGTCCTTTCAGCAGTTCCAGGAAGGCTCCACACCCATTTGCACCACTCAGGTGACCCTGAGGACACAGATAAACCTCCAAGTGGCCTCAACGACTCTCTAAAAGGAGGCAAATGACCAGCTGTCTGCAAGGAGTATAAATCCTTCCATTCCTCACCATCCAGTCAGAGCTGAAGAAGCTTCTTGGAGAAGCAAAACGTCTTCAAAGAAAAACAAACAACTGGTCATTTGCATTCTTTTAGAGAGCCGTTGAGGCCACTTGAAGGTTTATCTGTGTCCTCAGGATCACCTGAGTGGTGCAAATGGATGGGGAGCCTTCTTGGAATTCCTCCCAGAATTCCTCAGCCAGGCACACATCCACAAGTCACAAAAGGGCCAAGTTTGAAGACCCTTGCATTAGCTCGACAGGATTTCAGCAAATATTCCCAAAGCTTACCGGCACTTGGATGACATTCACCAGGTTCTTGTCCTGATAGACGTGAACTTCCCTGTTGGATAGCGCCACCAGCACAGCCTGGAAACTTTGAAATTTCTCATCCATGAGTCCCAAAGTGATGGGGGTAGCTGGCAACGTCACTGCCCAGAGCTTCTTTCCCTGGTACAAGAAAATGGTGTGTGTGTGTCAGAAAGGCATAAAGTCTCGTGCTTGAGCAGGGGGTTGGACTAGATGACCTCGGAGCTCCCTTCTAATTCTGCTACCATGTGTATTCCCTTCCTGGAGGAGTTCAGGCAGAGCAACACTGCCCCCTGCAGGCTTGTGAAAGAATTTGGGGAGGAATACAGGCAGTCTTTGATTGATGACCGCAATGGTAGACATTGTATAAGACATTGCGGTTGTAAAGCGAGGCATCACCACGACTGGACTCCATTTTACAACAGGAGTCGTAAAGCGAGTCCTTACACTCATTAAGTCGATCCATTCTTCTGAATGGGGGGTTGGCTTGTTTGTTTTTCTAGAAAATTGGCAGGAAACTGGTGCAAACAAACAAGAAAGTTGTTACAATTGGGGCTGTGTGTGTGAGACCACAGGATGCTGCAACCAGTTGAAAAAGCAAGCCGGATAGATACAGATTATTTATGAAGATTGAATGTAATTCAGATGCGTATAAGCTAAAAAGTTATTGATAAATGTAATAATGATGTTTTTATTGATTTGATATAATTAGAAATGTACCAGCTTGAATATGAGATAATAAATGTTAAGGGAAACAGAGAAGAAATATTTGATGATGTAACCTGAGATTTGCAGTAAAGATTTTGTTATTGAGCTACTGATTAACCCAGTCGCCACGTTGCTTTTTAAATACTCAAATGTAAAATTGGAAATCTAATAAAATATATATTAAAAAAAAGCAACCTGGATACCAAGGGCCCCAGAGGCCATTACATGAACCCAGGGGTTTTGTGTGGCAACCGTAACTTTGAGGCTGGGTCCTAAGCAGTTTTTTAAAAAGTCCATCGTAACTTCAAATGCTCATTAGCGGCCAGTCGTAAGTTGAGGACTATCTGGACTTTACTTCTTCGGGATCTAGCCGCTGTATAGTTGCAACCAGAGGTGTAGAGGTTTATGAACTGTGAGCCTGTTTTGCAAAGGGGGGGGGGGAACTATTATTGTGGCAATATATCTATCAGTATTCAACTTGGGAGGGCGACAACCTACGTAGATCTTTTGGTCTTGTTTTTAAGGCACAATTTTTTTTAAAATGTCTTGTTTTGTCTTTGTGACCATTTTTTAAAATTTAAAGTTCATTTCAATTTTGGGGAATAAAAACAAACGTAGAATTAAAAGGGAATCTAGCTGCTTTAGACTCCAGCTAAGTTCGGATGGCAGATTTGGTTTGGTTTTCACATGATTTAAAAGAGCTGCTAAGCTGTGTGTGAACACACACCCACACAGCAATAACTTGCCTGAGGGCACAACTCGCTACCCCTCCCCTAACCTTCTGGCTGTAGCCTCGCAGCGTCTCATCTGAACAAGCCACCATGATGTTCTTTTGGACACGAACCAAACCCACCGCCTGGGAGCTCAGCTCGATGCAGTATTTGGGCCGTTTGGAGTCCCTGTGAGAAAAAAATAAAAAGAGGAAAAATCTCAGCACGACACGAACGGGACAGAGGACTCGGTTCCAACTGGGCAGAAAATGCAAAAAAATCTATCCAAATACTTCTCATCAATTGACAAGGAGGCTACAAGCCAAACCTGGGCAGTTTTAAGCGGCGTGGAGTTCAGCTCTCCGAATTCCCGAGCCAGCAGGCTTTAAATCAGGGGTCTTCCAACTTGGCCCTTTTATGGACTTCAACTCCCAGAATTCCTCAGCCAGCGTGCTTCAAGATGGGAGGACTTTGACTCCCAGAATTCCCTAAATCAGCATATTTTAAGGCGGAGGTCCCCCAACCTTTGAGCACCAGGGACCGGCTCCGTGGGAAAGTTTTTCCACAGACCGGGGGGTACTTGGATTTGTGTGCTGCCTGCATCCCGCGGATGGGGTTTTGCTTGTTTGTGTGGACCGGTTGCTGGCATGCCTGGTACTAGTCCATGGACCAAGGCTTGGGGACCCATTTTAAAGTGTGTGGACAATTCCCAGAATCCCCTGGCTAGTAAGGTTTAAAATATCTGGACTTCCCCGGCCAGTATGTTTTAAGTTGGATGGACCTCAACTCCCAGAATTCCCCAGCCAGCATGCTTTAAGGTGAGGACTTCAACTTCCAGATTTCCCCAGCCAGCACGCTTTAAGACTGGTGGACTTCAGCTCCCAGAATTCCATGGCTGGCTAGGGAGTTCTGGGGGTTGAAGTCCACCCATCATCAAGCTGCCAAGGTCGCAAAACCATGCTTTATTGTGTCCTTTCCCTTCCCATTATTTTCCCAGTCTGAAACAATCTCTCACAATACAGCTTACACAATTATAACTTTTCTAAACTATGATGTTTATTATTATGGGATGTTCTGGGAAGAGGCTGCTGTCTGTGGCTTGAATGTGCTTCGCCTACTGTCTGCTCTAGAGCAGCCCCGTTGCCGGGGGGGGGGGGGAAATCACACACCTGCGAAGGATGTAAATGCTACCGTTCCGACATGCCACGGTGAGATGGTACTCCACGTCGAACTGGCCGGTGACATCCAGAAAGGCGGGCACGCTTGGTATGGCCACCTAAGAGGGGAAAAACGGAGTCCTGAGCCTTTGGTTGGACTTCTGCACGCGAGACCTGGGCGGGAGGACTGGACACGACGGCTGAGTTCTCACTCTGCACCAAAGCAGGACCTTTTAGACCAGGTTAGTTGCCTTCATCACAGCCTGTGAAGCTGGATTGGTGTTGTATTCAGGATGGTTGTTTTTCTGACCCGGCCTGTTTGGTTAATACAATATCGGATTCGAGAGATGGTAGGGACCCCGAAAGTGGGTTAATTGTGTAACCAGGTTAGGTAGGTTGGGTGGAGGAGATGAGGGGAAAGTAGGTGGGTTTGGGAAGGAAGGTTTTGGCTGCCTCCTAAAACAGGGGAGCCTATCCCTGGCATCTTTAAGACTGGTGGGACTTAAATTCTCAGAATTCACCAACCAGCCAGACATTTTAAAGCATGTTGGCTGGGGAATTCTGGGAGTTGAGTCCACCCATCTTAAAGCATGCTGGCTGGGGAATATTGGGAGTTGAAGTCCACCCATCTCAAAGCATGCTGGCTGGGGAATTCTGGGAGTTGAAATTCAGACATTTTAAAGCATGCTGGCTGGGGAATTCTGGGAGTTGAAGTCCACACACCTTAAAGCATGCTGACTAACGAATTCTGGGAGTTGAAATTCAGACATCTTAAAAGCATGCCGGCTGGGGAATTCTGGGAGTTGAACTCCACCCGCTTTAAAAGTGGCCAGGGTTGGACGCAGCCCTGCCGTAACACCTGACACGATCCACAATCTTAAAAGCCAGAATCTTCCGAATATGGATGGCCGCCTTCTCTGTGCCTTGGGATATTATTGTTGTCAATACCTTTGAGAAGCAAGGAGAGGACGCTACATTGCAAAGGGGGTACACAGTGCACACAAGTCAGGTTTGGAGCCTCACCTTTGACAGGATGGTGAAGGCTTCAGGGTCCAGAATGAGGATTTCCATGTTCTCCGTCCCGACTACCAAGCAGCTGATGGCGTCCTCGTCCACCCTGCTCTTCTTCAGAGTCGACATGCAAGTGATCACCGTCTGAAAGATACAAAATACAAAACATGAATAGTAGGACTTTGGGGAATCACTGCAGTTGGCTAAGTTACTAACATGGTTGTAAAGTCCGCGGGGAAGCCAGATTCGCTGTGACTGACGTAACAACGGCAGTGATTGACTTAACTGTGGCAAGAAAGGTCATAAAATGGGGCAAAAGTCCCTTCACAAATGTCCTGCTGGGCAACAGAAATCTTGGGGCTCAGTTGTGGGTGTTAGGTTGAGGATTGTTTGTGTCATCCCTGAACAGTTTCGCAGTGACAGCAATCCTGCGAGGTAGGCTGGGCTCTCTGATTGGTCTAAAGCAGGGGTAGGCAACCTTCGCTCTTTTATGACTCGTGGACTTCAACTCCCAGAATTCCTGAGCCAGCTATGCTGAGGGGAAAGGGAGAGGTTTCCATGCTGAGCCAGGCTGGCTCAGGAATTCTGGGAGTTGAAGTCCATGAGTCATGAGGGGGCCAAAGTTTCCCTCATGCTGGCTCAGGAATTCTGGGAATCGAAGTCCACGAGTCATAAAAGAGCCCAGGTTGCCTAACCCAGGCCTAAAGTCACCTCACAAGCTTCCATGGCTGAGTGGCTGAGACTAGCTGCTTCTTAGGCCAGGATCTTCAATTCACAACTTTTCTGGGGAGGGGGAAACTTTTAAAGAATAATGGGGAGGGGGTCTCTGTCTCACCAACTGTGTTATTAGATTCATGAGTACAGACCTGACGTTTGATGGGCTGGAACTTGTGCTGGTTCACAAAAGACTCCATCTCGGGGGGCTCAAGGGTCAGGAATCTACAAAGCAGAGGGAAGGCGGTTAAAGCAATACAGGGGATCCTTGACTTTAACAGTTAGGATCATTTTTCACATTTATTTTTTTTATATATATGTATTTTATTAATTTTTATAGAATTAGGTTTGGGGTAAAGGTTAGGATTAGGGTTTTTTTTAAAATAACATTCTTAATATTTAGCAAACAACATGTCTAGGTTCGTGTATTTAAAAAAAATAAGTCATAATTTCTATATTATCATAATTAATGTTATTTAATCGCTCAATATTCTTCTGACTACATTCAATGTTACATAATACGTATCACATTCCTTTCTAACTCGTTTTTCTAGCCATTGATAAAAACTGCCCCATGTTCTAAAGCAGTGGTTCTCAACCTTTTTAATGCCGCTACCCCAACCGGTCGTAAGTCGAGGACTACTCAACTGGTGCAGCATTTGCAGAATGGGACTTTTGGCGGGCTCAACAGGGCAGAGACAGCCTGGACAATTCCTACTGGCTTTTGAAAGCCAATAGAATTAGACTCTATTCAAGAGAGTCTCTTCTATTGGCTTTCAAAAGCCAATAGAATAAAAGGGAGTGGCACAGCTAAGGAAAAGGGGGGAAAAAATGGTGGACTGCGTTGCTTGGCGACCCCCGTGAAATGGTCATTCGACCCCAAATGGGGTCCTGACCCACAGGTTGAGAACCACTGTTCTAAAGTATACTGAGTTTTTCACACTTATGACGGTTGCAGTATCCCCTCGCGATCACAATTCAGAGGCTTGCCCACTGGCTCATATGTATGACCGTTGCTGTGTCCCAGGGTCATGTGATTACTCTTTGCGACCAAAGTCAATGGGGAAGCTGGATTCTCTTAAAAAGCCATGTTATTAATTTATAAACCTCTACACATCTACAGATAGCCCGTGACTTACATTTAGTGACTGTTCAAAGTTACAACGGCATTGGAAAAAAGTGACTTACGACCGTTTTTCACACTTACGACTTGCAGCACCCCCCCCCATGGTCATGTGATCAAAATTTGGACCCTTGGCAACTGATTCATATATACGACGGTTTGCAGGGGTCACGTGATCCCCTTTTGCGACCCTCTGAGAAGCAAAGTCAACGGGGGAGGCAGATTCACTGAACCACCTGTGGTTAACTTAATAACTGCAGCGATTCACTTAACGACCGTGGCAAGGACGGTCGTAAAATGGGGCAAAATCCATTTAACGGCTGTCTTGCTTGGCAACAGAAATTTGGGGCTGGCTTGTGGTTGAAAGTCAAGGACTACCTATACAGATTCCCAGGTCAAGAACTACCACCCCCAAAAACCCCAGAACATTTCCCACAACCAGTGTGATCTCCCACGCAAGCCCACATCTGCACATGAGACCCTCACCTCAAAGACTGCACCGATAGTGGCATTTCTGCGTTTTCTCTGGCGGAGAAGAAAAGACAAAAATCATTTAGAACAAAGAACCAAAATTCAAACTGAGAATCTGGACAAGCCACCCTGATTTTTTTTCCCAATCGTCTAAGGAGAATTCTGAGTTTTGGGTCACATGGGACTGTGTGAAAGAGAACCACCATTGCAAATTAACGTAATGCAAAGAAACCCATCTAGGAGCCCCAAGCCCAAATTGAGAGATGCCATCCTTTCTTTCTGCTTTCCAGTCAAACAGAACCAGTCCAAGCGCCTTGAGACCTGTCAGTCTGTCCAATATCCTGATATTTGTGGAATTAATACACTCATGGTTTGTATTTCCATACTGTCTGCTCCCAGACCTGGAGTCAAAGAAAACATCTAACCAAGATTTGCCTTCCTACCTACAATATCAGGACAAAACAAATTCATTCCAATTGGAGCATATTTCTAATAATTGAACATACGTAAACCATTAAGAAGTAAAACCTTCCTTCTTTTTGAAAGAGGTACCTTTTGACAGTTGTTAAAAATAAAACCAGTCAATTCCTTAAAACTTTTCTTAAACGATCCACTGCCCGTCTCGTGTCTATTTTTCCACATCCCACCACTCACAAACCCCTGAAAAATGGATCAGAAAAACAACAATTTGCCCTCAGTCTCTCACCGGATGGCTTCCAGCATCTCTTTCATTGACAGAAGATCGACCTTGTCCTGTGCACAGAGAGAAAGAGAAAAGGGAATCAGGCACACAATGCAACACCAATGATTATGGTTACAAGAAGGGAGCCTAAGTCTTTTTTAGATAAAGAAATAATCTGAAGTGAATTGAATTGGATACTTTATTTGGCCGAGTGTGATTAGACACAGAAGGAATTTGCCTCCAGCACGAAAACGCTCAGTGTACATGCAAAGCAACAGAAAGGAGAAGAATGATACCAATCAAAGGGAGAAGATAATAAAAAGGACAAATATTAATATTTATAATAGTAGATGGGTTAATAGACAGAGACATTAGACAGAACTGTGAAAGTTAGGTGTTCAGTAGTATGATGCCAAGAGGGGAAAACAATGTCTAGTTGTTTTGGCATATAATGCCCTATAGAGGGGTAGGCAACCTTGGCTCTTTTATGACTCGTGGACTAGAACTCACCATCTCCCCGTGATTGGCTCAGAGTCACCCAGCTGGCTTTTAAGTCTAAGGAGGGACTAGAACTCACCATCTCCTGGTGATTGGCTCAATGTCACCCAGCTGGCTTTCAGGCCTAAGGCAGGACTAGAACTCACCATCTCCTGGTGACTGCCTCAGAGTCACCCAGCTGGCTTTTAAGTCTAAGGAGGGACTAGAACTCACCATCACCTTGTTTTCAGCCTGGTGCCTTAAACCACTAGACCAAACTAGCTCATTCATGGATCAAGAGGTGCCAACCGATAAGTGATCAACAGACCACTTTAAGAAGGAGGAAAAAGACACCCACCCACCCACCCAAAAGGAGCGTAAGATTCAAAATCCGGCATTTTGTGCCACTCAAATGCGCTTGTTTGAAACCTGGGTTTCCTCTCTCCTCACCTCCTTTGCCTGGTCCCAGACCACTTTCTCCATTGCATTGGGCTCCATCGGCGGCAGAGTAAACTTGAAGTAGGGACGCAGATTCTTGTAGACGTAGATATACGGCCCAGAAGCCACTGCCAGGGCTGGCATGCAGGGCTCATGTTGCTCCATCAGAAAGGAAACCACGCTCGTGGGTAAGTCTGGCAGGGTGTTTTCACTCAAGAGGGTGGTGCCCTGGTAGACCTTCAGCTTCATCTCATGACCCGTGGAGCCAAAATTGCCCACCACTAGCTGCAGGAGGAAAGGAGAGAGCACAGAGATAAAATGACTTTTTAAAATCGTCAATAAGTGGATACAGATAGTCCTCAGCTTATGGCTGGTTGCTTAATGGTCATTCAAAGTTACAACAGAGCCAATAAACTGTACAGGAAGTTACAACGGCCTGAAAAAGTGACTTAGCAACAGATATTTTGGGTGGCTCAATTGAGGTCTTAAGTCGAGGTAGTCTCAGACTTCCAACTCTTTTGTTTAGTGACCACTAAACACTAAAAAGGGCTGAGGGATTTATATCCTGGATGGAAATGGGGAAAGCTGGCTAGGGTTAAAGTAGAGCTTTTATTTCCTTTACCTTCTGGTCTCCGTCCCCATGCAGGTCAGCCAGAGCTGGAAGAAAATTCACAGTCAATGAGAGGGCCATTGTATCCATCCATCCATCTATCTATCTATGAGATACTATATCATTCCGGACTGTCCAGTCTCTTCTTGAAAACCTCCAATGTTGGTGCAGCCACAATTTCTAGAGTCTACTCCACCCCACCCCAAAAGAGAGAAAGGAGGGGGGGAGGAAAGGAGGTCAGACTTACTCACACACGAAGAAAAGGTGTGCAAATTGGCGACTGGATCGTAGTGGGCATCCAGCCATTTGGAACTAGTGCGAACCCTGTTGGCAAACACAGGAAAAAAGATGTCAACAAAAAAAAACATCTATTTTAACATGGCAAGCAGTGTTTCTCAACCTTGGCAGTCAGAAGATGGGTGGATTTCAATTCCCAGAATTCCCCAGCCAACATGCTTTAAGATAGGAAGACTTCAATTGATGGCTGGGGAATTCTGGGAGAGGAAGTCCATCCATCTTGAAGCATGCTGGCTGGGAATTCTGGGAACTGAAGTCCACCCCTTTTAAAGCATGCTGGATGGGGAATTCTGGGAGCTGGAGTCCACCCATCTTAAAGCATGCTGGGTGGGGAATTCTGGGAGCTGGAGTCCTCCCATCTTAAAGCATGCTGGCTGGGGCATTCTGGGAATTGAGGTCCACCCATCTTCAAGTTGCCAAGGTCGAGTAACTCTGCGGTGCTTTCAATCCAGAGCTAAAGGCTCAAGGATTCTTCTTTCCACGCAGCCCCCCTTCCATACAGCCCCCCCTAAAAGCGGACCCGGGAGGGGGAATATGAGAGAAATCCCCCTTTCCCCCCCCCCAACATTTTTCCTCCTCCTCGTTATTATTTCCCATTATTTCCCGGGTGTTGTTTTTACCCGTCGCCGGAGCCTCCACAAGACGCCGCCGCCATTTTCTTGAATGCGCTCCACAGTAGGCCGTAAAGCCCGTTGCCATGGAAACTCCACGGCGGGCAATGGGTGCACCGCGAAAAGGAATCCCGCCTGCGACACCCGTTGTCATGGATACCTCAGGGCGGGAAGTAGGTTCACCGCGAAAAGAAGTCCCCCATCTGCGGGTTTATAAACTTCCGACCGTTAGAGTGACTCGCGCAGGGAAGCGCCGGGCAGCATCCGAGACCGACTTGAAGTTTTCCTTTCGTCTTGGCTGGCAGCCATTGAAATAAAGGATGTTAGGAGGGATAATTTCTCTGTCATTTTGGGTATCCCAAAATTTATTTTTTTTTTGGGGGGGGGGGGATAATCATTTCTATATGGGGTTAGCCCTGGTATTCACAGCTAGCAAGGGGTTAGCCCCTTAAAAAAAACAAGAACAAAATGTACAGTAATTCAGCTGAATTCAGGAGAATTGCACATTCTCCAGGGATTCACAAAACTAGGCCCACAAAAAACCAATTTACAAACCCAACATAACATGTCATCTTTGCAGCATTTGCTAGATCTCCTTTGGGGAACCCAATTCCACATCTCTACGACGAATTTCTCAATGTTGGAATAAGAAAGAAAAAGGGAACTTCTGTCCATGTGCAGAGTGCCTTCTCCTTATTTCTAGCATAGCCCAGACTTCTCCAGCCGAGCTCCTTTGAGCCATGGGAACAACTCAACTCCCATTTCTTTCTTACTCCTGGTAACAAATACAGGTAGTCCTCGATTTACAACCACAATCAAGCCCAACATTTCTGTTGTTAAGTGAGACATTTGTTAAATGAGCTTTGCTCATTTTACGACCTTTCTTGACATAGTCGTTAAGTGAATCACTCCCGCTCTCAGTTTAGTAACGTAGTTGTTAAGTGACTCTGGCTTCCGTAACTGACTTTTGCTTCTCAGGTCGCAAAAGGGGATCACGTGACCCCAGGACGCTGCAACCGTCATAAATGCGAATCAGTTGTCAAGCGTCTGAATTTTGATCACGTGATCATGGGGATGTTACAAAAGTCATAAGTGTGAACACGCGGTCATAAGTCACTTTTTTCAGTGTCGTTGTAACTTCAGTCACTAAATGAACTGTTGTAAGTCAAGAACTACCTGTACCAACGCAGATTGGGGATTATGTGTGTTGAAGTCCCAGCACAGCCAGACGGTACCTAGATGAGTTTGCACCTTCAATGAAATTGCATCTCCAATGCCTCGTAGGTGATCAATTTTTTTCCAACAAACTAAGCCCTTTTTATTTTTCAGATCCAACAGCTCGTATTCACACGTTTATATAAATACACCCCATGGCATAAAATCAGGCTACTCAATCAAACACAGGATGGGAAACCAAGGCTTGCTAATAAATCCATCCATGACAACTGGCTGAGTTCACACTTAGGCATAAGTTACAAAGTCATCAAGCCATGGTTCATAAACCATCATTTGCTGAGTTGACACAACATCCTAAGCCAGAATTAAAAACCAGTGGCTTTACTGTTTAGAGCAGTAAATTATCTATCTTAGCAAGTTTAACATGTCTGGACTTTAAATTTCCAGAATTCTGCATTCTGGGGAATTCTGGGAGTTGAAGTCCAGATCTTAAAAGTTGCCAAGATGGAGAAACAATGGTTTAGGGCAGAGGTCTTCAAACTTGGCAACTTTAAGACTTGTGGACTTCAACTCCCAGAATTCCTCAGCCAGCCAGTTGCCAAGTTTGAAGCCCCCTGGTTTAGGGACATGAATGAACCCACCAACATTGTGGGTTAAGTAACAGTCCTCTTTCTCTTGCTCCATCTAACCTTTCTGACCTTCAAGAATTTTCTTCCCAACTCAAGTTTCAAATGTGTTTTCCCCACCAACAGCCGCCAGTCTAGGAACCAAGATTTATTACTTCCAAATATTATCCAGTGTGCTCAAGTTGCGTAACAGTCAGATCGGATGCCCGTCCTCCAATCCCACCCCAAAGCTGCAGAGACGGTGAGAAAAATCACCCAAATGAGTCCAGGAGAAAAAAAACACACACCCAAAACTGAGAGCTGGGCCATTTTTCAAATCGATCTGTGGCCCAAAAAGAGATCCAGTCCAATTTCTTTGTCACCCCTTCGAGATCAGAAGGCCAGTTAGGAGATAAAAGTGGTTTGTCCTGAAATCTTGGCACAATCAGATAAGGAGACCAGGAAATCTGGATGGTGTCTCCGTCACTCAATGAGTTTTTTGGCCTTGAAAAAGCGTCGTAGGTAAAATACCTGCCAGGCTGCTAAGCTGACCAGACACAGCATGGAAAAAATGCTAAAGTAGAAAACCCGAATGCTGGTGGATTCTGCAAAAAAGAAAAAAAAGAAAAAAAGAAACAGGATGAAGGATCAACAACATGGTGGTGGCAGTTACTAAGACGAGGGCTCTTCATCCTTGGCGACTTTTAGACTTGTGGACTTCAAAGTCCCAGAGTTCCCTAGCCAGCTTGCTTTAAAGTGTGTGGATTTTAACTCCCAGAATTCCCCAGCCAGCATGCTTTAAGATGGGTGGACTTCAACTCCCAGAATTCCCCAGCCAGCATGCTTTAAGATGGGTGGACCTCAACTCCCAGAATTCCCCTGCCAAGGTTGAGAAACTAGGTCTAGCCCATTGGAAGGAGAACTGGCTAATGGCTCATATTGACAGTGCCCGATATCTTGTCTAAATCTCCTTGCTTGATAGCCCCAAGTTTACAATAAAATCAGTACATGCTCGTTGGGGGATTCTGGGAGTTGAAATGTACACAACTTCAAGCTGGCAAGTCAGGATCTCTGGTCTAGCCCTTGTTAGAAGGAGAACTGGCTGGTGGCTCATATCAACATATCATAGCTTGAATCACCTTGCTTGTTAACTTCACATTTACAATAAAAGTCAGCGCGGGCCGGCGGGGGGATTCTGGGAATTGAAGTCCACACATCTTAAAGTGGCTAAGGATGAGGAACGCCAAATTTTGGCTTCACTGGGAGTTCAGAAGAACTGAGGAAGGCTGGAAGGCAAAGGGCAAGTTATGCAGAAAATGATCCATATTGCCATTTTTCTTGGGACCACCTGTCCAGAAAGCAGGGGTCAAATCCCCAATTAGAAAGTCTGGCCTCACCGTTGGTGTCGCGCATTTCCTCTTCCCGTTTTTTCATGAAGGCAAAATCCTTGACAATGGATTCGGAAAGGTCCTCCAGCCGACGGAGGTCTATCTCCAGCGGTTTCAGTTTCTCTGCTTTTGCGACCTGGCAGGAAAGTTGGGAGAACCATAGAGTTTGGCGGGAAAGAGGGCCAAGTGACATCACGTCTGCAATGACATCATCACGCTTGTAAGGTCATCCTGATCTGTCCCAGGTGCCAATAGGGAGGAGTGACGCTAAGTAACGGCACCATTAATGGCTGTCGTCATACCACACACCTAATCAAGTTACCAGTCCTCAAAGAACATTTTCATAACATGGCGAATGACTGGCTTCTCCACTGACTTTGCTTATCAGACGGTCGCGAAAGGGGATCACCTGACCCCAGAACACCACGACTGTCATAAATACGAATCAGTTGCCAAATGTCTGAATTTTGATCACATGACTACGGGGATGCTGCAACAGTCATAAGTGTGAAAAATGATCATAAGTCACTTTTTTTAGTGCCGTCGTAACTTCAAACAGTCACTAAATGAATGGTTGTAAATCAAAAAAATTCAGAGCTACACCCAGCAAAAATTTGACTTACATTTTCGTAATTCATGGCTTCTACCCCATGTTTAACATTGAGGGTGACCAGTTGATCCGGCAGCCGAAAGTTCCCTGAAAAAAAATAAAAGGAAAGGTTGTGTTACAGGATGCAAAATACAGGAGAAAATCCAATTTTTATTAATTATATTCATAATAATATAATAAAAGGTGGTCAAAAATGCCAAATCCAGTCTGAATATTTGGCTGCGCGACAAACCATAGATTATAATAGTAATAAAGAATATGTTCTTGATATTCCTAGTATTTTCTATGTTCTAGTGCAGGGATAGGCAACCTTGACTCTTTTATGACTCGTGGACTTTAACTCCCAGAATTCCTGAGACAGCCTGGCTCAGCTTGGAAACCTCTCCCTTTCCCCTCAACATGGCTGGCTCAGGAATTCTGGGAGTTGAAGTCCACGACTCATAAAAGAGCCGAGGTTGCCTACCCCTGTTCTAGCGTGTTAAGTGCGGTTAGCTAAATATGAAAAAAAATTATCACAATACATTAGTAAAAATAAATAAAGAAAAAAAAACTGCAGAAAATCCCAATATACAAAGACTTGCAACTAGAAGTAGAACGCCTGTAGCAAAAGAAAGCGGAGATAGGACCAACAGCTTCCCAAAACATCTGGAGCACCCCTGGAATATTATTGACATTGACAAAAACCCCATTAGTCAATTGCAAAAGGCAGCTTGACTTGGAACAGCTGACCGTCCTTTTAATATTATTAAGCAACATCTGTCTATCCCAGGTCCTTGGGAAGGATTTGATCAATGGATAAAAATACCAAATTCACTTTAAACATCTGGCTGACGGTGTGACAAACCACAGCAACAGTAACAACAATGTGGTTGAGTTTTTCTGAAACCTTTTCAGTTCTGAAGGAAACTAAGAAATCTCCCAAAATAAACCTAAAAGTAAAAGTGCTTTTGGTCAACAGAAGCAAAGATATTTTAAATGATCGAAGTAAATTTACCGACTAGGGTGGCACAGCACCCATTTAACCACGTCAGTGAAAGGTTTCCGGTTTTTTTTTTTGCCTTTGCACAATATTATTACAGGTCTTTTGTAAACTTTGCTTTGGGGAGATTTTTAGCGGACCGAGAGATTCAATGCATCTGTTTTAACTGACAATTTAAAAAAAAAAAATCACACCAATTTTGAGAAAACTTCACAGCCAAGTAAATAATTAAAGTCTGTCGTTAGGAATAAAAAGAAACACGTTAAGTCCACCTACTGTACCTCTCTCTCTTTCCAAATAGGACCCGTTGCCCACCTGCAGGAAGCAGCTGGATGGGGGCGATGGGACCTGTAGTCAGGCAGACGAGTGCCCATACCTGGACCCCCTTACCTGGCTGTCCGTGACTCTGAAAGCAAATCTCGTAGACTTCGTAATCCTCAGTGGTGAAGGCAAATTTCCCCTTTTTGGCTTCTTCTCTGGAGTAGAGCAGGTGTCCGGCCGAGTCAGTCACCTGCGGGCAGAACAAGACAACCTCTGAGCATGCACAGAGTGCAAAACCAGATCAGCTCCAGTTTGCAAAGCTCGGATGGTGCAAGAGAGGACGGGAAACACACCCGCACACAATTTTGTGCAAAGGGGTCGAGAGGAGGAAGGGGAAGGGGATGCTTCCCACCTTTAAGTTCGTCCGGATGCCCGGTGCGGCCGCTTCGGACACTTCATACTCCCCGGTGACCATCACGTCCCGGTGCAGCTCCTCTTTCAGGCACTTGCGGCTCAGCGGGGGCAGATGGAAGGAGAGCCCCCGGCAGCGGCCGGCACCAAGAGCCAGCAGCACGGCCCAGGGACCCAGCAGGACCGACAGCCACATGGGAACGGTGCAAAGAGGGAGACCCTCGTCTTTCCGGGGGCTGATTCTGGGGAATGTCTAAACGAGCCCAGCGCTTCGGAGGTCAGATCGCACTCAGAACCCGGGTGGGCTCGTTCACACGACCCGCTTTTTCCCTGCCCGGGATCGCACTCTGCACGGCTGCAAATGCCACCGCGATCTCCGACCGCTCTGCGCTCCCCGGGCGCGAGCTCCGGGGATGTCCCGAGCGCGCATGCGCACCTCGCTTCTCTCGCCGCGCCCCCTCGGGCGGCGTCTACACGCGACGTGGCGCGACCTGCCGCTTCGTTCCGGGTAAGGGGGCGGGGACCTGACGAAGGACCGCCCCCTTCGCGAAACCTGGGGGAAAGAGGCTGTCGGAAGGGGTGGGCTCGCAATCCATCTCCATCCTAGCGGAGCGCGGCTGGGTTTTGGGGGCGGAAGGGCGGGAATGGGCGAAAGGAGGGAGCCGAGGCCGGGGAGGTGCGGTTTGACCCCCCTGGGGTTTCGTCTTGGCGTTATTTCTCAAGCGGAGGAGCTTTTCAGAAGCCTGGACTTCAATTCCCAGAGTTCCTCTCAATTCCCAGAGTTCCTCAGTCGGCCCGCTCTGAAGGATTCTGGGAGTTGAAGTTCACACCTCTTAAAGGGGCCAAGGTTGAAAAACGGGCTCAAGAAGAAAAACAAAGTTAGCACAGTTGCGTGTTTGAATCGAAAGGTGGGGAACCAATTAGCTACAGAAAAGACACCCCCCCCCCCCATGTAGAATGAAAAGAAATGGGTCAAGGGGAATGGAATAATCGATGCCAGTTAGTCCTTGACTTAACGTTCACAATTCAGGCCAATATTTCTGCTAACGAGACGGTGGTTAAGAGAGTTTTGCCCCATTTTACGACTTTTCTTGCCACACTTGTTAAATACTGCATCCAGTTTTGGTCACCACGATGTAAAAAAGATGTTGAGACTCTAGAACAGTGGTGGCGAACCTATGGCACGGGTGCCAGAGGTGGCACTCAGAGCCCTCTCTGTGGGCACGCGCACCATCGCCCCACTCCTAGGCCTTCAGCTGGACTTTATAAAATCTTTGTGCCACCGTGCACACAAAAAAAGATTCCGTCAGTCAATTTCAACTTCTCATGGGAAAGAAAAAGATCTCACAAAGTTGGAATTGATTGATTGAACTTTTTAGTCCCACCTAGTCTGCTGTTACGCACACCCAATAGGCCACACCCACCTGGCATTCGACGATGCATAAATGGGTTTTGGGTTGCAGTTTGGGCACTCAGTCTCTAAAAGTTTCGCCATCACTGCTCTAGAAAGAGTGCAGAGAAGAACAAAGATGATTAGGGGACTGGAGGCTAAAACATATAAAGAACGATTGCTGGAATTGGGGATGTCTAGTTTAACGAAGAGAAGGACGAGGGGGGACATGATAGCAGTGTTCCAATATCTCAGGGGCTGCCCCAAAGAAAAGGGAGTCAAGCTATTCTCCAAAGCGCCTGAAGGCAGGACAAGAAGCAACGGATGGAAACTAATCAAGGAGAGAAGCAATCTAGAACTTTCCTGGCAGTTAGAACAATTAACCAATGGAACTCCTTGCCTCCAGAAGCTGTGAATGCTCCAACGCTAGAAGTTTTTAAGAAGAGACTGGACAGCCATTTGTCCAAAATGGTACTATAGGGTTTCCTGCCTGAGTAGGGGGTTGGACCAGATGGCCTCCAAGGTCCCTTCCAACTTTATTATTATAAATCAATCACTGCAATAATTAATAAAATGGTTGCTAAGTGAATCTGGGTCAAATTACTTCTTCCCCCAGCCTGCTCCTTCCCTTCCCTTCCGTTTTCAAGGCCCTTTTCATGGCTTTCCCAGGGGTCCCAAATCCCCAACTGCGGGAACCCCAACGGGACACGAATCGCGGCCAATGCCGAGATGGCGGGAGGGGCAAATGAAACGGAAGCCGGCAAACTTCAGAAAAGTTCACTTTATTCTGAGATTCCTAGCCCGACGGAGCGATCGCTAGTGTGGGAATTCTCCATTTCCGAACCGGATTTTGGCAGAAGGGATCTGCAGATGTCAGGACAGCTCGGGAGGGAGGGGGGAGGGAAGACCCAGGCCCGCCCGCACCCGCTCTGCAGCCTTAATTTTTCCAAAAACGAGCATCTGCGTGAGTCAGCTGCAGCAATTCCCGTTCGAGGATCTCGGCGTCTTTGGAGAAGCGGTCGGCGAAGGAACGGATCAGCCCCGCGGCGCTGCCTTCATACTGGGTCAGTTGGACTTTGCCTTCTGGGAGAAGGAAGAGGCCAAGTTACCCAGTAAAAAAAAAATTGCTGTTCCCAATTTTCCGATTAGATTTTTATCCCCCAATCATCTTTTCCTTGGTTGCAGGCTCCAAAATTTATCTCGGGACAATGCTTAGGGCTTGCTGTGAAGCTAAGCCAGGGGGTCTTTTATGACTTGTGCCAGCGTGCCTGGCTGAGGAATTCTGGGAGTTGAAGTCCACAAGTCATAAAAGGACCAAGTTGGAAGACCAATGCTCTAGGGATTCCAGGAATGCTTCTCTATTGTACCAGGATAGTGTTTGTCAGCCTTAGCAACGCTTAAGAGGGGTGGACTTCAACTCCCAGAATTCCTGGCTGAGGAATTCTGGAAGTTGAAGTCTACCCCTCTTAGAGTCGACAAGGTTGCAAAACACTGTTAATAGGCTATAACAGAATTTAACTCTAACCAAGTTACTCTTTATCCCTACACAAAATTAAGATGGTAGTCTTCTTTTTTTCTAGTTTCTTTCCATTTCTGAACTGCATAAATCTCTTCTGTCAACAAATACTTTAGAAGTCAGTTCTAAATCCCTTTGCGCCACGAATCTCTGGACTATCGCAGGAAAAGCTCCGAAGTTTTACACAAAGTGGAAAAAAACAGTGACGCTGGACCACTGGGAGACCATAAACCAGGTTAAATCTCGGCCTGCTTACCCTCCAGCCGGGTGTTGGCTTGCACGAAGAGCTTGCGTGCTTCCTTACGCAAAAGCACCGTCTCACGTAGGCTTAGAAAGCGTTCGGGTTTGTCGTCTGTCACGGCTGAGTAGGCTTCATAAAGCTTCCGGCCCCCTTCCACGTCGGCGGTGGATTTCAGCACCTGAGGTTGATAAAACCTAGTTTGAAAGTGTTTCTCGTTTCCCCTGCCAGGATTCCCTGTTTCTTCTTCCCGGCTTGCTTTCCTGAACCTGATACACTTAGTCCTCAACTTACGACAACAACGGAGACCAAAATTCATGTCGCAAAGTGAGACATTTGTTAAGTGAGCTTTGCCCCATTTTACGACCTTTCTGGCTGCCGTCGTTAAATGAGTCACTGCAGTTAAGTTAGTAAGACGGTTGTTAAGTGAACCTGGCTTCACCCATGGGGATCCCGTGACTGCAACCGTCGTAAATAAGAGTCAGTTGCCAAGCGTCCTAATTTTGATCACGTGACCGAGAGGAGGCGGCAATGGTCGTCAATGTGAAAAACGGTCACAAGTCACGTTTTTCAGCGCAGCTGTAATTTTGAATGGTCACTAAATGAAACTGTTATAAGCCGAGGACTAAATGACTCAAGGTGGCAAACATATCCATCGCATCTTGCTCCTCCTGTTCCCCCCCCCCCAACAACTCTGTGAGGTGGGTTGGGCTGAGAAGTTGACGGGCCCAATGTCACCCAGCCAGATTTCCTGGCTAAGGCAGGACTCGAACTCGCCGTCTCCTGCTTTCTAGCTTAGGGCCTTCACCACTAGAGCAGGGGTCTTCAAACTTGGCCCTTTGATGACTTGTGAACTTCAACTCCCAGAATTCCTCAGCCAGCGTGCCTGGCTGAGGAATTCTGGGAGTTGAAGTCCACAAGCAGGAGTCTTCAAACTTGGGCCTTTGATGCCAACAACGCTGACTAAGGAATTCTGGGAGTTGAAGTCCACAAGTCATCAAAGGGCCAAATTTGAAGACCCCTGCCCTAGAGCAAACTGGCTCCTTTCTTTCACCATTAGGAATTTCTCCACTGCTAAGGGAAGGAAAAAAAAAAAACCCGCTTACTTGCAGCTTCCGGAGAAAACACTGCAGGGCTGGTTTTCCCACGCTGGTGATTTTGGTGCGGTCCAGCGAGACAACGGCGTCGGGTTTGCCGTCTGTCCCTGTGGTGTGGTGCAGGGACACCAGTCCCTGGCCAGCCTCCAGCAGCACTCTTAAGATCACAAAACGGGCCTGCATGTGAGCCTGGCAGAGAGAGAAGCAAACGTCAGGAGGGAAGACTAGAGTCGTAATGGGTGCAAGGCACCTGGCAGGCTTTCCTGCCTGCAAAACTGGAAAGCAGAATTAGCATGCTATTCTTTCCAAGAGAGCAAAGCGAACGTCCAGATCTGATTTAGGGATTCAGTGTTGTGTGGGCTTCCCAGAAGTCCCTATCCAGCAGGCTTGAAGATGGGTGGACTTCAACTCCCAGAAGTCCCTATCCGGCAAGCTTTTAGATGGGTGGACTTCAACTCCCAGAATTCCTTATCCAGCATGCTTTCAGATGGGCGGACCAACTCCCAGAATCCCCTAGCCACCTTGCTTTAAGATGGGTGGACTTCAACTCCCAGAGTTCCCCAGCCTGCATATTTTAAGATGGGTGGACTTCCACTCCCAGAATCCCCCAGGCAATACTAGGGTGGGTGGGAACTGTCAAATCATAAAATCAGTAAATGATCAAGCCAACACTGAACAAAATCACAATAGAAATAAATAAATAGCTTGCGGAATAAGTTAAAAAAAAAAAAGCAATATATACCAAAACATAACTTTTGCATTGTCAGTAATTCAGAAAATGGCCAAGGAACGCGGATATATTGTGCTTGCTCGCTGCCATTATGTCTCACTCATTTATAAAGAATTATAACATCGATATTGTTTACAAATAAAGAAAACCTAATGTCAATAACAATCTATCGTTAGTGAAGGTTTCACCTATTAGGCTGGCTGGAAAATTCTGGGAGTTGACATCTTCAAGCTGTCAAGATTGGGAAACACTGCATTAAATTATTATTATTGTTGTAATTATTATCTAACAATAATAGTAAAGCCAATATTTCTGACTTTTGCAAAGGGGGCAAACTGAAAAGGCCAGGTAATTCTTAACAGGGACCCTCACCTGCCGCCATGTCCCGGATTCGGGGGTGTAGAATTCCAGTGCCAGGAGCCCCGCCCGGACCATATTTAGCCAGTTAATATAGAT